GTGGGTGTGGCCCCTCCAGCACCTCTTCTCTCCGTCACTGGTTCTCCTGCTTCTATATCAGCTTTTTCCATGTCAAACGATCTAGGAATAAGTTAGCAAAAAAAAAAAAAAAAAAAAGTCATTTGCAACAAAGAATTTACTTCCTTTGCGCGTCATAATGTATGGGTTCTCAATTTCTTTAATTCTTATCTCGGGAAAGCGAAGATGTAGCATTTCGAGTTGTGTTTTTTAAAAAAAAAAAAAAAAAAAAGGAGTCATGCAACAAAGAATTTACTTCCTTGGGTCATAATGTAGTGGGTCTCAATTCTTTAATCTTATCTCGAAAGCGAAGGATGTAAGCATTTCGAGTTGTGTTTTTTAGAAGTTTTGAACGGGTTTTGTGGATCACTTGACCCGCAAGATCAGGCCTTAACTTCTCGCTCGGCTTCATCGATCTTGTTCTAATATACCTCTTGTCCACTTCTCAAATGATTTGTTAATTATTTCATCCAAATCGTTGTCAAATGCACATTTTTTTTTTTTTTTGGTCGCTTTAAACTGCTGAATTTGCTTGTGACTTGATTAAGATTTATGGCTTTAAACTTGAATCATTTCATTTTGTAAGCGATTCAATGAAATTAAGAATTTTTATGGCTTTAAACTTAACTCTATTTATAGACAAATTAATGAAATTAATAATTTTTATTAAAACGATAGTATTTCTAACCATATATTTAGAAAAAATGATAAAGTCGAAACAATTTTCAAAGAATTCTTAGTTTCATTTGGACCCGGTCTAGACAAGTAATTTCTATCTTTATTTGTCCGCGACCCAATACCAAATTAATCAAATAATGTGTAAATTGATATTTTTAGCAAAATTTAGAGAGAAAATTGGCTCAAAAATTAATTTATGTCAATTGAAATACTTGGTCCGAGTTTAGAGATTAAAATGAACCTTTTTCCTAATGCCAATTAGGTATTTAAAGTACACTGATATGTTATTAAAAAAAGAATTAAAGAAATTGAATAACATTTATTATAATTTCAATTTTAATACTTATACTTATAGTGAATACTGAATAATTTGCACACTAGTCTAATGGTTCGTGCATATATGAATTGATAATAGATACAGATTCAAATGTCCCTCTCTGATAATTTAAAAAAAAAAGAATAATCCATACTATAAGATACTAAAAATCCTAACGGTTACCAAATTAATAAAATTTGTGCTATAAATTGATTTTTACAATGGAATACATTTATTTATTGATGTGTTGTTTGGTGGTAATTGAAATAAGAGGGAAGTAAATTAATGAAATACAAGTTTAAAATCAATTTTCCCAATCTTTTCATCACTAGCAAAATTTTGACAAAGGTAGAAATGACAAATGAATTGTCACTAGTGAATTTGATTAATGAAAGATTAGGTGGATCTTGGATCAACGAAAGTAACTTGTAATATTGTTCAGATGTGAAAGTCATGCCAGAGCCCTCTGAAAATGCTACTAAATTCTCATTAGTAGTCAAAGCATTCTGCTGGTCAATAGTATGAACAGTTACTGCATTTGCAGAAGAAGATGAACCACAAGATGAATTTTTAAACTTGAAACCCAGTGAAAAATCGTGTTTCTTGTAGCAAGTCTCAACTGTATGCCTTTCCTTCCCACAGTATGCGCAGACCTTAATTGCACTAGATTGCCCTCTGCCTTAGTTTCTCTTAAAAGATTTGTTCATGAAAACCTTTAATTCAACTTGTGTTGCATATGCAAATTGTCTTTCTTGTTGAATAACAAGAGAGAAGACTTTGTTAATTTAAGGCAAAGGATCTATCAACATGATTTGTGACTTCACAGTAGAATCTGAATCATTGAGACCTTTCAAAAATCGTATGACATAATCATTATCCATATAGGCTTTGAATTTTCCAAAAGCACCACAAGAACATGGTGTAGGGCACTCACATGATGGAATAGGCCTAAAATTCATCAGTTCATCCTAGAGAATCTTAAGTTGTGTGAAGTAATCAGTAACTGAGAGCTCTCCTTGCCTAAACACATAAATTTCTTCTTGTAAATCAAAGATTCTAATAACATCACCTTGTGCAAATCTGTCTTGTAAATCCTTCCAAATGTTTGTGGCTTTATCAATCCACAATATACTCTGAGCAATGGAGGGTTAGAGGGACCTAGTTAACCATGAAATCACCATAGTGTTACGTCTTTGCGAGGGATGGTACATAGAGTCAGTAATGGAAGGCGAAGTAATTGAGCCATCAACAAAACCTAATTTGTTTTTAGATGCCAGAGCCATTTTCATAGCTCTGGCCCATGAGTGATAGTTGGAACCTGTACGTGCTGGAGAAACCAAAACAAGAGCGGACTTTCATTTGGGTGGAGGAAATAAGGATTGGATGGATTCTGCAAATGATCTGGTATTTGAGTCGCCATTGGAGAAGAAAACACAAGCTCTAGGGTTTTGGTTCAGTTGAAGCAACAAGAGAAATGCAATGAAAGATTCAGTTCTTACTCAAAATTGAAGAAAAGTAATTGAAGAACTTGAAAGCTTGTAGAAGAGAACAAAGAGAATCAGCAATTGCTTGAAGACGATGAAGTAAATGCTCTGATACCATAATCCGAAAGTGAAAAATATGGAAGTGAATGTCCGAGAACTGATCCCATAAATAAAACGATGCGTTTTGCTCTTCTCCCAGCATCAGTTAGAGCTTTATCTTTAATAATCGTCCTTTGCGCTTCACCGTTGAGCGGCGCCGCTTTACCACCTAATAAATGTTGATAATAATACTGCAAGAACCATATCTTTTCAAGTAAAGCTGCGTTTTCCTTTTCAAGAAAGAAGTTAATGATGGCGTCAAGGCAAGAGAAGGTGGATCTAGCATATTTAAAGATACTAACAGAAAAACAGAATATCAGAAAAGGCAGAAAATATCGCTCAAAGCCCGCTGGCCTAATAGTCCTCTCAAATTCAATGTTCTTCTTTGGAAGTAAAAAGTCTCTACCCACTATTAAAATAAACATATGCTTCTACAATTGTGGTGGGATCAATGGTCTGCAACTTCTTTATTTGAATTGGAGATATCTACGAATAAAATCTGAGATCCTATAGTTTTGAAATTAAATTCGGATATAAAAAAGTTAAAATAATAATTTTTTAAATTCTGAATAATCGACAATTTTTATGATTAAATATGAGGTTAATTATTATTATTATAAAAAAAATGTTATTATGGACTTACAAATTAAGAACGTTTTAATATAGTTCAATAGCAAAAGTTATCAGGTAATATATAAGTACTTTGAGTGCTTACATTTTAATATGTACTAACTATCTAATTATTAATTACCGATTAATAATAAAGTACCTGTTTATTTATATAATAAAATAAAATAAAATATCGCACGAACCTACATCTAATTTCATTTTATTTAAAAGCAAAAAACCCATTTATTGATGTGGCGAAATTTTGAAAAATTAATTTAGTAAAAATCGGGATTGAATCTTCTTTTTTTCTTTTTAAGGGAAATTCATTTAATGCAAAAATAATTAGTAGTGATATTAACAACTCCATTACCTTTTATGTTAATCAATATATTGAAAATTTATAATACTAAATTGTCTTTTCATACCTTTTTAGATGATCACACATCTCATTATATATATTAAAATTAAATTTGACAAGGGAATATGTATAAAAGAACATTGGACGGTTATTTTTTATTTATTTTATACATTTTTTAGTATTTTAACAACTCTATCTATTTATTAATTATTCTATTCTATGAATGTAAATTTGTGAATAGATTATAGTTCATCTAAATTAAAACAAAGAACACTTAATGCAATATTGTAAAATAGATATAGGTATGTAACTAGAGAAGATACTCAATAATACTATAAGTTATGAGCATAATGTTAATTTTTTGATTAATTTCTTAAATTGATTACCTCCTAATTATAAACATTAGTATTAATAGTTATAATAAAAATCAATAAAATAATTTTAAATATGAAAATAATATATTTCTAATTCATAAGAAATAATTTATATTTAATCGAACATACACATGGTATGGGAGTATAACTAATTTGAAATTCTAAATTTTGCTATATTGTAATATATTTTGTTTCCTAATTACTATTTTTCAAATTTTCCTATTTAATTTCATTAAGTGCTTAATTAGTATCAACTCATCCTTGTTTAATATAATTCTAACTTTTCCTATTTAATCATTTTTTCTTTAAAAATATATTATTTTTAATATTGTTTCCTCATTATAATTATGATTGACGCACTTAATTAATGCCAAATATATAAATTCACTTATGTATTTTACACAAATGTGCAACACACGTTTAACTTTATGAAGGACCTAGTATACCTCTAGAGATATGAATTTTGATTGTTACACATATTTTTGTATTAATAATAGTAGTTTTTGGTATTTTTAGCTTTTACATGTAATATATTTATTTGATACATGATTAGCATGACTTTTCAAATATTAATTTTCACATTTTTAATTATTCAATAAGTGTTTAATTGATTTTAATTTAAAAGTTGGGGCATTTAATAAAAAAATTTGACAAATTAAAATATTTAATTTATGTAATTTTAAATATTGAGGTGCCGCTAGGATCTTTTTGTAAACTATTGTGAATTTATAAATTTAGCCTTTCGATGACCAAATACATGATTTGCCAAAAAGAGACGAGAAAAAAAAAATAATAAAAAGCTGACGCGAGGAGCAAAAGAAAGTCATGAAGAGACAAAATATGATATAGTATTTATAGTTTGTTATACTTATTAAATTTTGGAGCAGAGCACGCAGATACAGTAGTTACAAAATTAGCCACCCAAATACCAAAATTGAAGCTAGCCGCTGTCCAATGTAACTGACCGTTTCTAACTCTCTCTCTCTCTCCCTCCCTGTCGCATGTAAGGCACGTTTCATTCTCGCTCAAAGTCACTCATTCTCAATAAACACATGGTAATCAGTTTGTAGAGCCTGACAATGTCTTTGGACTCTTTGTGATTCTATTTATATGTTAGTGAGTGAGTGAGTGAATGTATTTTTGGTTTTTGTTAGCAAGCTGAAACAGACCATTGAATTTTAAGTAATATAGTTGCTATTATGGTAGTTGTTGTCTTTGATTCTTCATTTTTTTAGGGTTCTTTTTCTTGTTGTTTTCAGTTCTTTGAATTGCTCATTGTTTTTAGTATTGATTTGATTACTCTTCAATGTTGGTTACTTAGCCTTGCATGTTTATCATCTGATATAGGTTATGCTCATTTCAGTGACATTAGCTTTCTATTTGCAAACTTGTTGTTTGGATTCAAATGACATTGTTATGTTTTTGAATAGGAGGTTAATAAGGATTTAACAAGGGTCTTTCCTTTTAATGGTTGTTTTGAGTTTTGATTAATTGTTTGCATCTAATTTGTGTGCTCTTTCTATCATTATCAATCGGGAAACTAGAATGCTTGATGGGTTTGTGCTGGTTTTGGCTGGGGAGAATAAGTAGTGGTGTGTTTGCAATGGGGTTTTGAGATATGAGAATTTAGCATATAGGAACTATTTAGCTTAGCTTAAGGGTATAACAAAATGGTTTTGGGTCGTGAATCTGTGAATGTTGTTGCTGGGAATGTGGGAAAATCAAAGGGAAAGAAGAAGAAAGATGGAGAAACGAAGGAGACTAGGTGTTGGTTTAAGTTGAGGTTTTTGGGGAGCTGCATTTCTTCAAAGACCAAGACTGATAGCTCCACAAATGGCACTAGCACACAATATGGTATCATTTATTTCATTTGTTGCCACAAATTGTTTCATCCTATTAGTTTTGGTTAAATTCTTTATTTGTCATGTCTAATTCCATTTATTAGGTAGATGTTCTGTTTGTGATCACTTGCTATTCACGTCAATTACGTGTACATAGATGTCTGATCGTATATAATCTTACTGCATTCGTCATCCAATATTCTTATTGAATATGTTTATTCTCTTGTCGTTATGATTTTAATATTATTCGCCACTTTTGCATATGTAAACCTTTCTATTTTAGTAGGTGCTTATATGTCAAATTCCATTTGCGACGTGGATTGTTAATCATAACATTTAACGAACTTTTTCATAAAAGAGTTATTCGGTAGACATTAATTGCAGGATCTTACCTTATTGTAATTATTTTCGCCTCTTTCCTTTGGTAGGTGAAATTGTTGAATAGTGTGACATGATAGTTCAATGTTTGTAGGTTGTTATATATAATGGTGATGGGGAAACCATAGAAGCAGTGAAATATTTCTAGTTGAAGAACAGAACAAGCAAATACATAAGTTTAAAGAATGGAAGCACCCATCAAAATGTAAAAAACTTTTTTGACGTATGCTAACCTTGAGCCTAGCCAAGCAAAGGCAGAGTCTTTATATATATATAACAAGATTTATGTGGTTGTCTAGGATACATTTTACCGCAATATTTGAGGAGTTGATTCATTTCATTTCATTTTTTGGATTTTCCTTTGGTAATCCATGGTATATAGGATAGACATATTTGCTTTAAATTGAAGTATCATGCATTATTAGATATTATATGAAGTAGGGAAATTTGTAATCTTTTCCATCATCCTACTCATTTGCTTTTAAAGTAAAAAAGTGGTAATAATTTGACATGTGCTCAAAAAGAAGCATAATGCAGTAAACATGACCGAAGACTATATCTATCAAAACAATAACTTTTTTTTGATAATGAATCTCTGAAAAACATAATAATTTCAGAACCAATTTTATTAAGTTTCAAATGCTTGGAACACGCATGATGAAAATAGGAAGAGTAATGAATGCACAATGAGATTCAATCTAGTGAAGCTTTTCCTGCTATGTTTTTGGTTTAATACATGGTATTTTAAGCTACTAACTGTGATAAAGTTTGTCTTAAATTTTGATCGTGATATTGCATGGAATTCGGTAGGTAGAAATGTCATAATTGTAGTTAAAACAAAAGGGATCTAATATTTTCCCATTATATTTTTCTCCTGTTTTACGTTGTTAGAGTAATTTAACTAATTTTAAAACTTGAAATCTGTCGACTAGGTTGTCCTTTGATATCATATTTCATATTTGAAATTTATGGACTGCAAATGTAGTTGTATAACTGAATTAACTGAGATTCACAGTTTTTTTTTTCCCTAATTCAGTGGAAAGTAAATCTACGAATGATACTGCAAATGATACAAGCAGAGACCACCGAGTTGGATCATCTTCATCCACTAGCTATCCCTTAAGTACTCCATCTACTCCTAACATACTTGAGGAACTGAAATTTGCCTCTCAGCTTCGAAACTTCTCCTTTAATGAGCTTAAGTCAGCAACAAGAAATTTTAGGCCTGAGAATCTTCTTGGTGAGGGTGGGTTTGGATGTGTGTTCAAAGGATGGATTAGCGAGACTAGGACTGCTTCAGTTAAACCTGGGACAGGTCTGCCTGTTGCAGTAAAAAAACACAACCATGGTGGACTTCAGGGTCATAAAGAATGGCTTGTAAGAAACTTCGCAATCTGATTTTGTTTATGCTTAAGTGTGTAGATTCAAAATATATGCCTTACATTTTTTGCTACTACTTATACTTGCTCTATCTCCACTCCTATGATTAAATGGTAGTTCTTTTTCTTTTTATCCATTTTGCCTGGCAGGCTGAAGTTAATTATCTTGGTGCTCTTCACCATCCTCACTTGGTTAAGTTAATTGGGTATTGCATTGAAGATGATCAAAGGCTGCTTGTTTATGAGTTCATGCCTCGAGGAAGCTTGGAGAATCACCTCTTTAGGAGTAATTATTGAATTTTTATTTTTGAATGTTTGCTTAAAATATTCTTTTTTCCTTCCATAACGTTGGTAAACATTTTATTGGATCATCTTTAAATAGGGAATACACGTCTTTGATTTTCAAACTCAAAGCTCTTTTAGGAGATCATTAGGGCTCAAATTGATGGATTGATTTATGCCAGAATTATAAGATTGAAAAGATTATAAAGCTTAAAAAGTTTTCCCTTGGTGGGGAATTATTATTGATAGTAGTATTGATATTTGCAATTTAGTAGGTCTTTGAGAAATTCATATATAGAGTTTTGGAGTTTATGCTATGCAATTTATTTATTAGGTTGGTATTATAGGTATCAGTGTTTTTCCTTATGGTCTTTCTGCTTTTCCTTTATACCACTTTTTCTGAGGTAGGAACAAGTACCCTCTATCTTTCTCTGTACCTCTCATGCTATTATTACTTTGTTGTTGCAGTGGTAAGAGTACTACATTGTAACACTTTAAACTTTACTACCTTTTTCAGATTGGGCAAATTTAGTTAAAACATTAATGCGACAAAGGTGGGCTTGCACAAACTTAAGGAATAGATGTATACGTTATGCACCACTGCTGAATGATGGTGCTGATATATGTCATAATTAACATATGAAGGAAGTTAAAATCCTAATTGTGGTCTAAGGGAAAAGTTCTCTTTGTCTATGTGTGTGTGTTTGTGTGTGCGCCCATACATTCATGCAATGCACAAAATAATTCTCCACGTGCATGTGTTGTGTGTTTTGTCTATTTTGCTTGTTTATGTTAGAATTTTATGTTTTCCCTAAGTAGTGAAGAGAGTTTCTGAAAAACAATGGGCATTATAGTTTGCTTTGAAAGACTGGGGAAAATTGTAACAGTTTAGATAATAATTTCTCCATAAGCATTTAGGGAAATAGAAGCTATATCAACTATGGATGCATTGAGATCATATTTCTCAGAGATAATGCATTCTGAAAATGTCAACCAGCCCCCTCTACTTCACATCATACACGCATGCAAACATGAATGTCTGAGGACCAAGTTATCTCCGCTACTTGACCAGGGTCTTAAATAAAGGCTTTTTTGTTTCTGCCATTTTTGTAATTGAATTTTAGCCCCTATTAATTATCTTTTCTCTATGGATGATTTGCCAACTGCCTTTAAATGGTAGATAAAACATGTGAAACAATCGTTTCTAATGTCTGGTCCAATTATTAACTTATGTCTTTCATAGTTTGTTGAATTCTTTTTTGAACTTATATTTTATTAAATTCTCGAGTTATTGATATGGGCAATTTTGTGAATGGCTTTGAACTGTCATGACAGTTGATTTGGAATGATTCAGTCCTATTCCATGACACTGTTTAATCTGTTTTTGTTTCCGTTACTGTTTCCATTCCCATTATTTAAGAAATCCTGTACTCGGCATGTTATTGTACATTCCAATAATAACTGTGTTTAATATATTAGGGTCTCTGCCTCTTCCCTGGTCCATCAGAATTAAAATTGCACTTGGTGCTGCACAAGGCCTTGCCTTTCTTCATGAGGAAGCTGAACATCCAGTGATATACCGAGATTTTAAAACATCTAATATCCTGCTAGATGCAGTAGGTGACTAGTTCTATGCATGTGATATGCTACTTTCTTCCTTTTATTTGCTCTTCTGTAAAATATTGCTACATCTGTTCCAGGATTACAATGCCAAGCTTTCTGATTTTGGCCTTGCCAAGGATGGTCCTGAAGGAGACAAGACTCATGTTTCTACTCGTGTGATGGGAACATATGGTTATGCAGCTCCAGAGTATGTAATGACAGGTAAGTATGATAGACAATGTATGGTAGTTCTTTGAGGATAAACAATCAATTCCCCCTTGGAATTTTCAAGGATTTCCAATCAAGCTGGAGACGAGCTTTTGGACAATTGAGGACAATAAATTTCAGTTTATGATCAATTATGCCGAATTTTAGGCTGAGTAATGAGTGTGTTATACGTGTGCTCAAAACTGAATTAAAAATTAAATAATGTATTCTCCATCACCCAAATGACAACCTGATGGTGTTTTTAAATTTCATCTCCATCATTATCACTATCCCTCTACCTGCAAATTCCAGGATCAAACCCTTAAAATTTGAAAAGAGAGAGGAAGAGGTGAATTAATTTCCAACTCAAACATCACAGAACTTACAGAAATTAGTTGAAGCTCTGGACTTTTATTTATACTTCAGAAACCAAAACCCTTCAAACACTTCGGTGCCTCTACACTAAAGTGTGGGAAGGTTTCAAAGTGGTGGCTTTTGGGCACCAAAGAGTTCTATTTCCTTCTCTTTCTGAAGATAACAATTTACCACTGAAGAGGTTTAGTTTTTGCAATTTTGCAAAATTTGTATCTTTGCAAAAGTAGTAAAATTCCTTGATGGCAAATAAAATTCAACAAAAGAAAAACCCTTTGAAGTTTCTCTAATGAGTTAATATTGGATTTCAGATTTGAGATTCATAGTTAATCTAAAATTTGTGATGTGAAAAAAATTTTGGAAATAGCTTGATGCCTTGATCATGAAGGCTTTTCAAACTCCTTACCTTAGTTTTTTTTTTTTTAAAAAAATAGTTAAATCTTTGACTTGATTAAGACCTTAAACAAAATGGAACAAACTCCTCGGTGTTCAATTTGTAGCTGGGGTGTGGGAGGAGATGACAAAGTAGTGGGTGAGGAAGACATGGTGAGAGAAACACGTGTTTTTTTTTCTTATTTTCCTTTTTGAAATTAACCTTCACTCTCAAATAATACGTATGGCAGATGCTCTTTTCTCAAGTCAAAGTAGGATGTAATAGGCCATAAAATAAAATTTTTGTCCTAAATTGGTCCAAAAGATCATGTTGGGCTTAATCAGACATCCTTGGAAAGTGTTTTAAGCGTTTATCCTTCTTCAGATTATTATTATCATGTTTTGTTGCTTTATCATGTTTGTTTGAATCGATTTTGTATTCTTGCGTGTACCTGAATTTCATGTTGCTAAGTTGTTGGCCTCTCTACTCTAGTACTTTTCTTCTGGTAGTGTGTTTACCTAGTTAATTTCTGCAGTTGAAACCCAACTTCATTTATCTATTGCTTCCCGCCTTTTGAAAGAGGCACACCTCTTTGCAAATCCTCAATTGTGCACATAGATGTGCGAACAAAGGGGAAAACAAGAAAAATCCATATTTCCTTCTTGTGAGAAATAAGATGTGGTTTAATTTTGGTAGTAGCAAAAATCTTAAGTTTCACAGTATACCCTCCATTGAATTGCTGGTTGAGGCACAAAAAACATAGGCTTTAGTTAACAGCTATTTTACGTATCACTTTTCTGGAATAGGGTTACCTTACAGGCCATCTTATGACAAATCAAGGTGAATTATTCTGTTACAGCTCTTACCCCCTCTTAGAGGCATTACACTACATATTTCTGCTTTCTCATGAAAGCTTAATTTATTAAAATACTTGCTATAATACTGGCTGCAATTGTTATACTTTGGCCGTGGCACCCTGAAACAACAATACTGCGACCTCAAAATAAAGTCCCTGTAAATGCTAGCTACCTGCATGTCCTATCACTATATCTGATGCCCTTGGCTCACGTCGTCCTTACCTTTTTTGTTGCTCTTCTTGCTGAGTATTTCTTCCTGTTCTCCAATTAAATTCTATTATCTAAGCACCTCTTCTTTTTCCCCTTCTTATATTAGAAATCTTTACTATACTCCAAATCTCAAAGCTCCTCTACCATTAAGATGTTTTTTTGACTTATTGCTAATTGCCAAATAAGTCCTCTCCTCTAAAGTTGAAAGTTAAAATCTTAAATTAATGATTAATGCTGAACGGTGAATTTAAATGCAATTAAAGTTTTGCTATAGCTCACCACAGAAGTTTTTGCTGGAGTCTTCTAATTGCAGTTTGGGAAAGGTAGAGTGGCATGCAAGTAAAATACAGTCAGAGAGATTTATTAACAAATATATGATGTTTTGGCTTTTTGTTTTTCATTTTCATTTAAATTACATCACATCTTAGCATGATTATATTAGTGTTATGTATTGAAATTTACCATGTCTGGAACTTTTGTTTGCATATTTTATAGTTTTGGTAGATTTTGCATACTGAAATTTATACTAGAATAAATGCTTTTTGAATTTTTCATTTATGCCATGGTGAATTATATATATTATTACATGTGAGACCTTGTGACTAATTATAATCCTGTGGGGGAGAGAGACAAAAAATAAATTAAAAAATTAAGAAAACGAAATAAAGAAAGAAGAAGAGGGAAAACATAATGGAAGTGTATGTAATTTATCAGGACTATATTCTCTCTCTGAAAAAGACATGTAATATTTTGTTATGGGTTTCTTCATATTGCTGCTATATTTATTACATTTCATGTTGTGCCAGGGCATCTTACTTCAAGGAGTGATGTTTACAGCTTTGGGGTAGTATTACTTGAAATGTTAACCGGCAGAAGATCCATAGACAAAAGCCGACGAAATGGTGACCATAATTTGGTGGAATGGGCAAGACCACATCTTGGGGACAAGCGAAAGTTCTACCGACTGATGGATCCTTGTCTTGAAGGACGCTTCTCGATTGAGGGTTCTCAAAAGGCAATCCAGTTGGCTGCTCGCTGCCTCAAACGTGATCCAAAAGCCAGACCTCTGATGAGTGAGGTCGTTGATATCTTAAAACCCCTGCCCTACCTCAAGGACATGGCCTGTTCATCATCCCATTTTGAAGCCATGCAGGCAGAGCGTTTTAGCTCTAGCCCTAGTACTCGAAATGGAAGCAGAATGTGCCAAGGGCTATCGAGGAATGTTCGACCAAATGGTCCTCATGCTTCTCCATATAATAATAAGTCACCCACACCTAACAACTCGAGGAATGTTCGACCAAATGGTCCTCATCTCATATAATAATAAGTCACCCACACCTAACAACTCGAGGCAATGTATCGACCAAATTGTCCTGAGGAATGTTCGACCAAATGGTCCTCATGTTTCTCCATATAATAATAAGTCACTCATACCTAACACCTTGAGGAATGTTCGACCAAATGGTCCTCATGTTTCTCCATATAATAATAAGTCACTCATACCTAACACCTTGAGGAATGTTCGACCAAATGGTCCTCATGTTTCTCCATATAATAATAAGTCACTCATACCTAACACCTTGAGGAATGTTCGACCAAATGGTCCTCATGTTTCTCCATATAATAATAAGTTACCTACACCTAACGCCAGGCAACCATAGCATTGATTTGAGGATTGATTCTCATCTATTTATTTGGAAGTTGCGATGATGATTGGTTCTTTTGGCAAGACTAATAGTGGAAACTGCAATATTAAAAGACAATCTTTGAGGCGCTCTAGTTTGATATGTAACTTTATAGGAACATTGAACATTGAATGTGAAACATTAAAACATTAATTTTTCTCTCTGGCATTTTCATGCCTCTTTTCTGCTCTTTTTACTTTCCATAGATTTGAGTTATAATTTGGTGTTTTTGCATGGATATAAATAGAATCTTCTCAGGTTTACATTGCGGTGAAAGCGAATGCCGCTACAGGAGGCGTTTCCCTTTCTGAATCTACAGTTTTTTTTTCGAAACTGGAAAGCTTTACAAGGTTCATATCTCGCTCTTTCTCTCTCTCTCTCTCTTTCTTAACATATTTTCTTTTCTTTTGGCTACTTTCCTGTGATATTTCATTGTCCAATCTTGGATTACTCATTTGTGGTTTAGTAAATAAAAAATATATGTGCAATCTTCGCTTGAGCGAGAAAGGCCATTTATTGCTGTAAGTATTTGATGTTTTATTCTAAACCATTTGTGTTCCAGGACTAGAAATATTAATTAATGTCTAGCTATCATTGTAGCTTTTTATTAATGTTTAATTGTCAGGTTTGGAGAAATTCAATCTTTGACTTGTATGCTTTGTTTATTACTTATAAAATAAAGATGTAAATTTTCCTTTATTTGCAAAGAAGTTTTATCTTTTGAATAAATTCAATTTGCTATTAATTGTAGATACTGTCTATTTTTGATAGAGAGGCCAGTTTGCTATTTTTGATTCTTTGAATTCAGGTTCATTATTTGTGAATCAACTTTTTTATTTTCTTTTATTTGCTTCTCTTCTCTAGAGAAATTTATTCTCCTTTGTCACAAATTTCTCTTCTTGTTTCATATTTTATTTAGTCTTTTTCTTTTTTTTTTTTTTCTGTTTTTTTTCTTTGAGGACAATAGATAGTCTACAGATATAGTTTAGAGAATCAGAGATTACCATATTGTTGTTTCTTTGGTCTATGATAAAATTAACTGTTTTGGTAGCTGTTGGTTGTTTTACTAGCTTTTAAGTGTTATCTGTTTTAGTAGTTTTTAATAAAACGCTAAAAGCTAAACGCTACATGAGTTAACTTTTCACAGAACGCATGTTACCAAATAACTTTTTAAGTTAAAACGCTAACAGCTACTTAAAAACCTATTGCCGAATATAGCCTTAGTACTGAAGTTTGGATTTATTTTGACCCACTAACTTAGGATAATTTATTATTTGTTCTTCAAGGTTTTATAACAAAATATTCCCTAATTTAATTAAATTACTTTATATGTTCCATAATTATTCTAATCTTAATAATTCACCCTCCATTAATATATCACTAAAATTAAGAGAGAGAGAGAGAGAGAGAGAGCAGAAGTGATAAGATGTGTTTTAGGAAATTGTATAAATTAATTATTATGTTTAATACAAATAAGGATAGAATTGGAAGAAATTAATTAGTACTCCTTAATCTCTCAAAATGACAATTAATTTGGGCAAAACAACTAAATATTATAGATAGCAGTAGATAAAGTAGCTGGAGTGATTACAAAATTTTAAGATTGAGGTATTGGAATAAAAATGCCTCAGGGCAGGTTACTTGGGTTTTAAACAATTAATTGATTATTTTTTTTGAGGGATTCTTTGCTTTATTAGAAGTGAAGATTTATCATCTGTTTGCTTCTCTTTGCTCTCTGTAGTTTGCAACTTCTTTTTTCCTCTTTATTTTCCATTCATTATTTTGTTTTTTATTTTTGTTTTTTTTTTTATCAAATTATTAGTTTTTAAAGTTGGTTTGAATGAATTCTTGGTTTCATCTCTATTGGACTTCAAGGATTAGTTATTCTTCTGTTTTCAGTTTTTAATCTTAATTTTATTTTCTGGGATTTGCGAATTTTGATTCTGATTTTTGTTTTTATTCTTTAATGATGTTCTTTCATAGAATTGTGTTCTGTTCTGAATCATGGTTTATGCATAATATTGCTTTTTTTACTTGGTTTTCATTTGGGGTTATGTTTTTAGTGCCCAAGCCTTCAGACAAAAAAACAAAAAAAAAAGAGGGAAACAGGAACTTTATATTTGGTTTAGATGATTATGATCTTCATGATATCAAATCAATGAAACATTATTTTTGCTCTAATCTATGTACTTTTTTTTTTTTTAAATTGCCAGTTCAGTAGTTTATAAAATCTTATAATTTTATCATAGGCAAAAGAGCAATTTTGACATTATGAGATTATTGCATTTGCATTAGCACTAGCACATAAAGGATGTTCTTGATGATCTTGATTGTATAACATGAAATTCGTTCGAGTTTCGTTGGATATATGGTTAATGTTGGATTTGCAGGTTCATGCAAAATGAAGAAAGGAATTCACTCTCAGATGCAGTGGATATCGTGCGTGACACAGAGTGGCAGATTGATGCACATTATGCTGACCTAAATTCACCGTCTCGGTAAAATCTACAACTTCAGTGCACGACGACAAATGGCTGAAAGTCTAGGACAGATTGCCAAGTTTAAGCGCCGTTATGGACAAGAAGATGCTGAAGACACTACAAAGTACAAAATGACCTGCTTTAACAACAAGGCGGAGCTCAGTATTAGCTCAGTGTTGGTTCTCATGTTTTGACATGGAAAAGTCACAGAGCCCAAACCAGTTAGTTTTGCCGTGAATTTTTGATCAGTGACTCAAGAGAGAGAGAGAGAGAGAGAGAGATCTTAGTTAGGTGTGCCACAGTGGCAAGTTTACTGATCTGGAAAATTTGTTAAGACCTCAACTGATGATGTATCTTTTCTCATCCATTGTTTCTATTTTTTTCAAATCATAAATCGAACCCCAAATGGCCACAGCTGCTGCTGCTTCATCTCTCCCTCAAATCCTAAAACCCTTCATCAAGAAGTCTTGGGAGGTCACTGTCTCATGCGTTGATCCATCCTTCCCAAACTTCTTGAATACCATTTTAGAGATGGCCAATATGGAGAAGATGATGAAGCAGACAACTTTTCGATGTCGTCGTTTACCTAGCACTCTATGGAAACCATTACCATCTTAGATCCACATCCATGCAGACTTAGGATACACTACTTGACCACGATGGCAAGAGATATAGAAAAGATGGTGAAGGTGCAGTTAATATGAGGAACAACTAACGCCTGTGGTGCACTTTCTATGGCATATGATTCCTCCTCTTTAATAAGCCCACAAAAGCTTCACCAAAAACCGATTTCTTCACTTGAAAACTTGCTCAGCCTTCTATTATTTTGACAATACTCTATCCCTTTCTTACTCAATCTTTTAGCTTTTGCAATTTTCTGAACTCTCTTGAGCAATACGTTGATAACTCAAGTTACAAACAAGACAGCTTGTGCTACTGCAACTGTTTTTCAAATACTTTTTATTGTAATTGGTGTTTGGCTTTGTATTACGTGATTGTATGCAACTGTTTATTTTTCTCCTTAATTTAACTATCCCGTTATAATTGTTTGCCTCTCATTGAAATGAGATCTTGGCTTAGAGTTCTGATTTGCTTAATGTGTTACTGTTAAGGATTTATTGTCTTTGAGAATTTTGACACTTTATCAATATATGATTTTTTACGAGATATTGATTAATTTGAGTAACAAAAGACAATGTTTGGTCTGATTTATGTTTGAGAGAAATATAAAAAATTAAGAGATAGAGAAAAAATAAATTATCAGTTCATCAATCGTCTGTTGACTTCTCAGCAATGTTTTCCACGTCAACGAACTTACCATCGTGGCATAACATCTCTCATCCTATTTATAATTCTGGTTTTCCATGTAAATTAGAAAAAAAAATTTAGTAGTTTAAGCACCTGATTGTATATTTTTTTTTCTCTTGAGATATTAAAATGAAAAATTTTAGTAAATTCAGATACCAAATTTATAATAAACTCTATTTAAAATCCACTCTAACTACACATAATACCACGATATAACTTAATGTACATGTTTCAATGTAGTAGGTTCATATGTAATTGTTTTCGTGAAAAAATTCAATGTAATTAACAATTAATAAAAATTATATGACATATCTATAATCATCTCATAATCCCATCAGGTTTTCCAACTTGCAGTACACCAATATGGTGGCAAAGAGTCTTTTTAATACTCTTGGTATCCGGTTTTGATTTATTAATGCTTATCCCATGCATTTCTATGCATTCTGATCCAATTCAAGGATCCTCTTTTAATCGCTGACTCCTTGAATGTTGAGCATTGCAAGCCGTCTATTGTTAACAAGATGTCAAATGACTACGTGCCTTTTACATGACTCAACAACAGTATCAAGCAGTAACTTTCTTCCGTTTAGACTGTAATTTACTTGTCTTTTCCACATGTAATCCTCTAAGAATTTTCTAAGAATCTTCTAAGAATTTTCTCATGAAGTAATCCTCTTACTTCTTCATCAGTGGAGCATTTTCTGAAGTACTATATTGGTGGCATTCTTGATATAGAATCCACTGCAAATGTTCAAGGTTTTGATTTTTCCAAAATGATACCAGTTGCTGATTTGGCAACTCTGCTACAAATTTATAATTGGATGGTTTAATTCGAACTCGTAGATTATCCACGTAACTTCCTAAGCTGACCCTTATCTTCCTCTTAAATGAATGACTTCACTCAAGGAGTGATATCCATTTAATTCATCTTCCTTTTTTTATTTTCTTTTGACTTTCTGTTGTCCTATATTTCCTTTTTTTTTTTTTCAAGAGTCCCAAAAATTGCTTATAATTTTTTTACATAGAAAAAAATAATAAAAAAGCCACAAATCTAAAGAAATGTCTAAACTAAAAAAAATAAATTTTTAAATGGTTCATTTTTTCAATTAGAAATTTTAGCTAAATCCATTTAACTATAAAAGGAACTATAAAAAATTTATAATTACTCTAAAAAAAAAAATTTATTTGGTTTAAAATCAGTTGTTGTTAAAAGATTCATTAATGACCATTCATCTTTTTTAATCTATGTTATGGGGACTCGTAGATGTGGACACGGTTCCGGAACCACCCGGCTCTAATTCCAAATTTTTTAGAATTGGAACCGAACCGAAAATTAACGGTTTCAATTTTGATTCTTTAACGATTTCAAAACCGACGATTCGGACTGATTCGAACTAGTTCCAAACGGTTCTAATTAGAACTGGAACCGATGGTTATGACTGATTTTTGCAACCGCCGGTTCACAGTTCGAATCGAATCAGTTCGGATCGATTCTAATTTTGGTTACCAGTTAAATTCCCATCGATTCCGATTCTGATTCGGACCGATTTGGTTCCCACCGATTCAAAACGACGGTTCTAGTTCTAAAAACCGGATTTTGGCCGCCCTGGGGGAGGATATAAGGTGGAGGCAGTAAACTTGGGTCTCCAACTGGACTGTGCTAATTTCCACGTTCACTCGCTTGCCTACTAAAAATACTAGAACTGAAATTGGAAGATGCTATCACAAAATTATGGTGTATGATCTCCTTTTCCCGGAGACCTTCAGACAACAATCCTTCAAAGAACACTAGAATCACTGGCCCGAGCCATGAACTTTCTTGATCACCCATTGATCTCGGCTATATTGATTATGCCTTTGACAAATATATTAATTGATCAAATAAAAACCAAATGATTATTATGAAATTTAAACTACAAAACTTCAATAGAATAAATAATTTTCTTCAGTTCAGATAATAAATAAGTATAAATTTATATGACAAACTTTGACATCTAAAATCAGAATTTACTTATATTTTGATTCTTTTAAGAACGAAATTAATTTAAGCATTTTAAAATGTACTAAATATTTTTTTTAGAAATTAGAAATATAATAATGGAAAACCTATTAATAATAATTATAATTTTTATAATTTTTATTTTAATTAAAAATTTTATTTAGTATAAAACTCCTCAATTAGGAATTGTCCCGTTAAATTTTTTTATTAGAAATAAAATTATCTTTATTTTTTTCAATTAATAAAATTAAAATCCTTAAATATATTTTTGCCTATATTTAGATTAACTGAGGATATTTTTTGCCAATTCCTTTATTATTCTCATTCCCGCTTATATTATTATTATTATTATTGATATGTTTACTTGACTAAATTTAAGAGCAGTAGAGCATTATTTAATTATTTCAAAAAATGAGCTCTAATTCTAACGTTTATCTGTAATCTATCTATAACATATATAAAAATAAGGATGAGAAGGGAAATAATATATTCGTAAATTTACCCTTAATAATATTAGAGATATTTTGAAATATCCTTAACGAATCAATTAAAGTACTTTAATTTAAAAATATTAAAATATCATTTATAATGGACAATTAAATAAAATATTTAAATTAAAAATTCTAAAATATCCTTAATCATACTCAACTAAAATAATCTAATTAAAAAAATAAGTTGTACCGAATTAAAAGACTTTAATTAATAATAAGTAAAAATAGAAAGAATATAGATAGATAAAAATAACCTTATTAAATTCAAAGATGAACAAAATATCTTCAAGAGTTCTGAATTTTATTTATTGAAACGTAAAGAAATCATTTCCTTAATTGAATAGAAATTTTAATTTTAACAAATTTATTGGTATTGTATTGATGAATTTAAATTAAATTTAGATGTAAAATATTCTAAAAATATTTAAAACTTATTATGTAATAATAAATAATATAAAAAATGCTCATAAACAAAAATATATTTTTTAAAAAGAAATTTTTATTTAAAACCTGCAAGTTATTTAAATTTAAAAATATATTACATATGAAATAATTTTTTTAGTTATTTTGTAGAAAATAACCCAATTTCATGATAACATGGCGTTTATAAAAGATTTAGTTAATTTTTATTTTTTTTTCTTTTTCTTATAGAAGATTATTAAAAAAAAATACTTACATAATATTTTTTTTCTTTTTTTTCATTATAGAAAAGGAATATGTGATATTCTTTTTTCTTTTCTAATACCTTTAGAAATAATCAGGATTATGCAATAAATTTAAAAAAAATTATAAAATAATAAAAATATAACATATTTAATTGATTTAATAGTTTATGTGAAATTTAATATATTACTTTCTCTTCTCTTTCTTTTTTTTTTTTTTTCTCTTCTCTTCTTTTTTTTTTTTTTGTGTGTAAATCCACGCGGGTATCGTCGGACTCCCTATTATCAAGACCAACGCTAAATCTGGCTCAGCAGCTTAGTGCACAATTAAGACAGACCCTCAAAGTCCTAAGATGGCCTTCCCTGCAGATGTGCCGTTTAGGAGTTGGGATTGATAACACTAGAGAGAATCTTGTCCCCCTAATTGGTAAGTATTTGGGCTCGCCAGGCGGTCGCCGTGTTTGATATATGCGCGAGGCGCGACTAAACAATTACCAACCAATCAGTGAACTCACAACATAGTAGAATTATTTATATTCTCTACATCTGAGTAATATAATTTATGTGAAATTTCCTTATAAATATATATAATGAAGTGGTTTGTGGTAGAATGCAGTAGATTTTTTTAATTTTTTAATTAATAGAGCGAGGAAAGGAGAGGAAACTGGTAGTTGGTTAGAATGACTACGCTGACCGAAAAGATCAGTGAGGTGCTATTTTGTTTTTTTTTTTTTTTGTGTGTAAATCACCGGTATCTGGATCCTATTATCAAAGACCACCTAATCTGGCTCAGAGCTTAGTCACAATTAAGACCCTTCCTTCCTCCCTGCAGATGCGTTTAGTGGGATTCAAATCTAAGAGATCTTTCTATATGTCCAGCCTACATTACCAACTGAATCACAACATGTAGATTATTTTCTCTACTCTTTAATATATTTATGTGAAATTTCTATAAATAAATATGTGTATTTTTTTTATTTTTAATAATAGAGAGGAAGAGAAACTGTATATGTTAGAAATGACACGTGACCAAGATCAGTGGTCTATTTTGTACTTAGTTAGGGTTTTGTCTAAAATCTCCCCGAGAAACCTATATTCCTTCCTAAATTTAGAGCTAGTAGAACTTCGAGTTGAACCGATTTGAGTTGGTTTTTCGGTTTGTATGAATAAACTGAATATTTTTTAGTTTAGTCTTAATTTGAATCTATTTTCATTTTGAAAATTTAAGTGCACCATCTATCTAAATCTAGATTTAAAAGTTATTCCTTATTTTTTTATTAAAGATCGTGAATTAAAATTTCTTTATAATATGATGTATAATGATTTTCTTATCACGAATGTTTTTGTATTTTTTTTAGTAAATCAGAAAAGATATTTTATGCTTAAATAATTATATAAAATAAAGTATAAACGTGCAACTGAATTTTATATTATATAATAGACAACACAAATTACTAGAAGATTATATTCAAAAAAAAAAATAAATCATGAATATAAATAACGTACACATTCAAAGTGTTATTTTAAAAGAAAAAAATACATCATTTTCTTTTTAATTGACTCTAACGTATTACGAGATATGTACAAAATATAAGTATCTATTAACATGTAATATAAATTAATTATTGTATTTTTTTTAAATCTCAAAATGAATTTATGTTATAACATTAAGGATTTATTCAGCAAAATTAATTGTTTTAGTAGCTGTCAGCTATTTTAGTAGCGTTTAGCTGTTAGCTATTTTAATAGTATTTAGCTGTTCGCTGTTTGAGTGTGTAGATTTTCATAAAATGTTTAATGCTAAATGTTATATGATTTAACATTTTATAAAAAATTATCTCAACTTTTAAAAGTTAATTCAAACGCTATATTATCGATCGTTATATAAAAGCTACTTAAAAAGTTATAACTGAACACGATGTATATAATGTAAATAACAAATTAGAATATTCTACAAATGACTTATTTCCAGTTGTTTTGTTGCAATATTAGAAATTGGTTAAAAATATTAAAATGTTTAACTTACAAGACCATAAAAATATTTATAATAATAGAATTTTTGTATTTTAAAAATTTTATTGTTAAATATGAGAAAAAAAATGCAAAAAATGGTAAATCATAAAAGTTGTTAATTACCGATGGTGATGGCTGGTAGTAAATGGTAACTAGTGGTAGTGGCTATCTGTGATTAATAAATTAAAAATATACATTTATAAAGTTATAATAAGTTTATCAATATTGGGAAAATATTTTTTCTCTCTTGAAAATGAAAAGTCATTTTTCTTAAAAATAATTTAATTTTGCTTTAATCAAGAAAATTTTGTTCGTTGATTTATTTTTCTAAACACTTCTAACAACAAAAAATTTATAAAAAATATTTATCTCTAACTCATTTTACGGAAATAAACGAAAATAAACTAGCATATGTTAAAAGTTGTATTAAAACTGGTAGAATTTTCAAAATGAACCATCTAAGTTGTTATTGGCAAGACTACCCTCCAATGTTATTATCCTAAAATCGGTTAACCCTCTCTTCTCCTCTTTAGCCGCCCATATCCTTCTCAGTGGCTGCTCTTCTACTCAACACACCTCTGAGCTGCAATTCTCAATCATCGAAGTAGGTTAGTGGCTTTTGTTATTTTCTTGGTGAATTAGTTTATTGAGTTCTTTTTCTTTCTCAGAGAAAAAGATGTAAAATGCAATTAGCTATATAATAATCTGGTTTCTCTATATCTATAGAGTAATTTAATTTGCTTTTCTTGGTTACTAAATTTTGCCAATTTACCCTTTGTTTCAATTTGATTGAGGCTGACTGGGTGGTTTTTTGTATTTGATGTTGGGTGTTAATGCTGATCTTTGAGGTTTTGAAATGGTTTTAGAAAATTTATTTTCAATTTGGTATTGACATTCTAACAAGTTTGAGCTTATTGGCTCTTATTATTGGTGGGTTTTCTTTTTTGTATTTTTGTAGATTTGTTTATATAACCCTTTCATTGTTTTCTAACCATCCAGCTCCATCCTCTATGTTCATTTGTTTTCACTTGTTAAACCCTAAAAGCAGAATCACTGTTACCAAAAATTCTCCTCTCACAAGGCCCCTGAGTTAGAGCGAGTCATGAACAATTCGTCTCTCCTGACATCCCCATCTTCCTCTAGCCAATCCCTTCTTAGTCCTCTCCGTCTCACCATCCCAACAACAAGCCGTCGCCGTTTCCGCGTGTCCATCCCACGGTGCTCCTCTGATAAATCAAGTGATGATTCTACTTCATCTTCTTCCTCTTCAATCAGTTCCGATGTTTTTGGAGGGAAGCGAGAGCTTGGTGGAATACAGCCATTGGTGGCTAATCTCTCACCGCCATTGAGATTGGCGAGCTCTGCTATTATTCTGGCTGGTTCTCTGGCTGCTGGTTATGCATTAGGCTTCAGGTTTGGTAAGTCCCAAAATTTGGCTTTGGGTGCTGCAGCCGCTGTAGGAGGTGCGGGTGCTGCGGCTGTCTTTGCCATCAATTCTTCCGTACCGGAAGTTGCAGCCACTGATTTACATAACTATGTGGCTGCCTTGGATGATCCCAAAACTGTTAAGAAGGAGGATATCCAACAGATTGCCAAAAGGTTTTTATTTATTTGTTTATTTATTTACATAATTTTCTTTTGTTAATTCTCAAATGAATTCCTTTTGTACTGTTTGATTGATATCTCAGATACGGTGTAAGCAAGCAGGACGAGGCATTCAATGCCGAACTTTGTGATTTATACTGTAGGTGAGTTAAATGTCCACCTTACCAGTACTTTCAGTAATTAAATTTATGTATTTCTATTTTCATAACATTGGTTCTGCATAGGTTTGTGTCATCTGTTCTCCCTCCAGGAGGTGAAGATCTTAAAGGGAATGAAGTTGAAATAATATCCAACTTCAAAAGTGCACTGGGCATTGATGACCCAGATGCTGCCAGTATGCATGTAGAGGTATTCTTACATAAACTATTCTTATGCCTTTCCAGAACGTTTAACTTTTATGCTTGACTGGATTATACTTATTGATTTTACTCGTTTGGTTGTAGATTGGTCGGCGGATTTTCAGGCAAAGGCTTGAAACTGGAGATCGTGATGGTGATGTAGAGCAGCGTCGGGTATGCCATTAGTAATATCATGCAACACCTTAAGTAGAGGTATGTAATTCGGGTGTGGAGTGAAGCTTGACCATTAGTACTGATTCTGTGCAGGCATTCCAGAAGTTGATCTATGTATCAACCCTGGTTTTTGGAGAAGCATCATCATTTCTTTTACCTTGGAAGCGTGTTTTCAAAGTTACTGATTCACAGGTACTTATTTCATATGCTCTATGTTTTTCTATCTATCAATTTGTCTGAATTTGTTTTGTAGTGGTCTTATCATTGATGATCTATTAGCATTGAAGATCTATATTGTTTTTTACCTTAAGTTTGTGAAATACTAACATGCATTAAGCCAAATATATTCTTGTACATGAGTTGGTTTTCGTTCTTCGGAGTTTTTCATAATTTTCTATTTGGCTTTTGGGTTGTAACCTATATATTTGTTTTTTCATTATTCTGATGTTCCCAGATTGAGATTGCTATCCGTGATAATGCTCAGAGGTTATATGCTTCAAAGCTAAAATCAGTTACCAGAGGTAAACGCAATATGTATTAAGGTCTCTAATATTATTGTTATATTGTTTTCACTGACTGAACCAAGTGGTTTGCAAGCTTCCAGATGCTGTGTTGTTTGGACAATGTTCTACTTATCTAAATGGAATGTGTGTGTGTGTGTGTGTGTGGCAACTGGCAAGTGGTACTAATGGTTCCCCCGGTTAAAAGTGCTGTGCTTATCATCACTGATTACCAATCAACTGATTGTGGGGTGGAAGACTTTCTCTGTGTCAAAATGATCAATATAGAATTTGTTTAAATTAATACAGCAATCTTAGTGGAGGATGCTTGTTAATTTTCTTAAGAAGCTTGATATAAATTCTTTGGGATGGACAAGGGACAATTCATTTACAATTTTTTATTTTATTAATATGCTTTCAATTTTGCTTTTGGTTATGTTTCCTTGTATGATTTCATCAGATGAGTTGAAATTTCCTTTTCTACTGATGCCGGAACTTGTTGACATTCTAGTTTTTACTAAATTACATTTTCCTTTGAAACAGATATTGATGTGGAGCAGCTTGTTAGTCTCAGGCAACTGCAGCTTCAATATCGGCTTTCTGATGAGGTACCTTCTTCATAACTTGACCTAGATTTTTATAGGCTTTTTGTTTTTTGTTCATTGGTGGTTTTTGTGTTTCATACAGCTTGCAGAGGACTTATTTAGGCAGCAGACAAGAAAAATAGTTGAGGAAAATATATCAACAGCATTGGATATTCTGAAGTCCAGGACAAGAGCTGTGTATGATCAGTATCACTTTGCTTAAGTTCAGCTTTAAGTATCACAAGCTTAATTGGCGATTGATTTTTCAAAGAATATATATATTTGTGTTTCATACAGCTTGCAGAGGACGTTTATTTAGCAGCAGACAAGAAAAATATGTTGAGGAAAAATATATCAACAGCATTGGATATTCTGACAAGTCCAGGACAAGAGCTGTGTATTGATCAGTATCACTTTGCTTTAAGTTCAGCTTAAGTATCACAAGCTTAATGGCGATTGGATTTTTTTCAAGATATATAGTAATATATATAGCGTTATATATATTATAAATATATATATATATATATCTTCTTCAAATATATATATATATATATATATATTCTTCAATGGAGTACATTTTTGCAGAATATATATTTCAATATATATGTGTTTATGTGTGTGTGTGTGTATATATGTTTTATTATTGTAATGCATATCATTTCATAATTAATTTGTTTTACAGTAAGGGTGTGACGCAAGTTGTGGAAGAGCTTGAAAAGATACTGGCATTCAACAATAAGCTTATTTCATTAAAGAACCATGTTGATTCAGCTTCCTTTGCTCGTGGGGTTGGATCAGTTTCATTAGTAGGTAGGATGCTAATGGAACATTTGCTTTCCCATTCTTCATAAATGAATCTGGACATCTCTAATCTGGAAGGTGGCTCTATTGAAACTTTGTGGCCTAGGTGGCGAGTATGATAACGAGAGAAAGATGGATGACTTGAAGCTCCTTTACAGAGTATATATAACAGATGCTTTATCTAGTGGTCGCATGACAGAGAATAAGGTAAACAATGCTGCCCTTACCTTGCTATGCACCTGAATTTCTTTTTCTTGTTTGTGTGTGCATGCTTGTTTTTCGTGTATGACTTGTACTTTGTGATTAGGAACTATCCAATTGTGAATCCAAGATAATACATTGGCACTACCTGGCGTGGTTTTAAATCTCGGTCATAGGTGGTGTTGGGTTTTGCACTGTGGATGTGCTAGTATGTCTGCAACTGTGATTGTAGCTGACACTATATGGCAAATTTGTTGAGAAAGACAACAATATTAATAAATAGGATACAAAATAACTGTTTACTAAAAAAAGCTTAAAGTTTAACTTGGAAAATTTTTTTTCTAACTTTCCTTCTTTACAATTTTCCTGAATAAAGTGTTATATTATTAATTTATATAATAATTAGATAAAACTTATTTAATTGAAAATTTCAGATTATATAGAAAACTGCAACTTGAAATCCTGCCTTTTCATATAAAAATCAGGGGGAAAAAAACACATGAAACTACTTTTTTTCATTCATTTATTTATTTATTTTTTGGAGATGGGGGAGAACAAGATAAAGCCGCAAATCTAACCTTGTTACTGTTTAGATCATCGCTCAAAATAGCAAAAGCTAATCCAACGCCTCTCTCACCTCAAGGAAACTGATTGACACATCCAACTCCTCTTCTCAACACTTTTCATCTCTTTTTTATATCTCAGTGCAACCTTTTCTTGTGATTTCCCAAACCGAAACACCAAATTTTTTTCTTTTTTCTATCAGATATTAATGAAATAAAAATTAAATGCCCTCCCTATCATCTGGATAATTCAAGAATCGTGAAAGTTTAAAGTTTTGGGAAGGAAAAAGCAAGAAATTAGGAAGTTACAAAATGAAAAGAGCTGAAATTTTGAAGATTTAGAAGGGAAAAGGAATTTCTGGAGACAGAAGGAAGCAAGTATTTTTGATTCTCTGAATTCAAGTTAGTCTGAATCGACTCTTATTTTTTTTGTTTGCTTCTCTTTTCACAGAGAAATTGATTCTATTTTTTGTCAAATTTCTCTCCTTTTTTCATATTTTATGTAATAGATAGTCTGCAATATAGTTTAGACAATCAGAGATGGCCACATTGCTGTTTCTTTGGTTTAGTCTTGAATCGTCCATGCTGGTATAATCACTATGGTAACGGAGGATTCACCTCTGCATCCAAATCCTGGGTATGAAAATGGAAAATAGTATTGACCCTTAAGAACTGTTATGAAACAGCCAATATATAATGTATCTGCTGATATTTAGGAGCCTGCTACCTTGCCAAAGGGAAAAGGAAGCTAGCTCTGAACAAGTGAATGCGAGCCTTGAAGCCTTCGAGTTTGGTTTTAAGCAAGCTCAAGTTCTAAGCATGTTTAAGTTGATTATTTCTGTAATCATGTCAGAACTTTGGATTAAATACATCATTATTTATATTTGAATATGTGAATGACTTCTAACAAGTTTGTGCTTATTGATGGTGGGTTTCCCTTATGTATTTTTACAGAACTGTTTATGTATTATGAGTTTATAACCCTTTTATTATATCCTTTTGTAGCTTGCTGCGTTGAATCATTTAAGGAATATATTTGGTTTAGGAAAAAGGGAAGCAGAAACTATTTCACTTGATGTTACCTCAAAGGCATATCGGAAACGACTTGCACAGGCTGTTTCCAGTGGTGATTTGGATTTGGCAGACAGCAAAGCTGCCTTCCTACAAAATCTGTGTGAAGAATTGCACTTTGATGCACTGAAGGCAACTGAGATACATGAAGGTATTGAATAATGGGAAGCCATAAATCTGTTAACTCATTATGTTGATGCCTTCATTTTCTGGAATTTTTTCTGTTGGTCAGAATTTCATTCTATATTGAAGGGAAGATTGTGAGTAAGTTCTAGTACTATTTTTACTGAATTACGTCTTGTTATCTCTCTTGTTCTTTCAAGAAATTTACCGGCAAAAGCTCCAGCAATGTGTGGCTGATGGAGAGCTGAGTGAAGAGGATGTTGTTGCTTTGAACCGCTTGCGAGTCATGCTCTGCATTCCTCAGCAGACTATCGATGCAGCTCATTCTGATATCTGTGGCAGTCTGTTTGAAAAGGTAACAGTTAGTTTGTTTATGATCTTCTGTTGTTTGAGAACTTGCATATAGTGGTCTCCTATCATCAAGCTGATCTTATTATTTTGTAACTTGAGAGAGATTTAGTACTGTAGAGGTGGATAAGGTAAATATTCATAAAAAGGTATCTCTATGGTGTGTTTTTTTGCCACTTTGATCTGTTCAAGGGGAATCCTTACGTTCTTCCCCAAAATTAGTGGCATTTTTCATAATGCAACTATTGATGTATTGTGGCCTTTGAAAGTTCATTTGGCTAATGTCATGGCGCATTTTAGGCTACATAGAGCATGGTGATCACTTGTCCTTGGTTGGGATTGTTTTGTTCATTGCTTGCCTGCGGTCAAAATTTGTTGGTTTGGAATTTGATAGTTATGAAAAGCTTGTGTATTACCACTCACTGGGAGCTCAAATTGTTGCTTTACAGGCTTATTTCTTTGTTTTTTGTTCTTTTGTTCCTTTTTTTTTTCATTTTTAATGAAATCACTGCCTTATCCAAAAGTGAAAAACCATGTTGTCTGATTGATTGACACAATACCAGTTATTTCTGGCAAAGTAGCTGATTATGTTTATTTGCCCTTTTCAGGTGGTCAAGCAAGCAATTGCCTCAGGTGTTGATGGTTATGATGCTGATGTCAAGATGGCAGTAAGGAAGGCAGCTCATGGATTACGATTAACACGGGAAGCTGCCATGACTATTGCTGGCAAAGCAGTGAGTATAAGTTTGACTACAATATACTATTAAGTGAAATATATGTTTAAAACAAAAGATATTTGCGCTTGCTTTTTGCTGTAATCGTGATCCACCTTGCAGGTTCGAAAGATTTTCATTAACTATATAAAGAGAGCACGTACTGCTGACAATCGTACTGAGGCTGCAAAAGAACTAAAGAAAATGATTGCTTTCAATACATTGGTTGTGACGGAATTGGTTGCTGACATAAAAGGGGAACCTTCTGAAACTCAATCAGAAGAGACTTTGAAGGAGGAAGAAAAGCAAATTAAAGAGGATGAGGAATGGGATGATGAAGAATGGGAGTCCCTTGAGACACTTAGAAAAATAAAACCTAGTGAGGACCTTGCTGCAAAGATGGGGAAGCCCGGCCAGACAGAGATAAATCTCAGAGATGATCTTCCTGAAAGAGATCGGACTGACCTTTATAAGACATACTTGCTATACTGCCTAACTGGCGAAGTGACCAGGATTCCATTTGGTGCTCAAATTACTACCAAAAAGGATGACTCGGAGTATCTTTTGCTGAATCAACTAGGTGGAATTCTGGGTTTGACTGGCAAGGAAATTGTGGAAGTTCACAGGAGCCTTGCTGAGCAGGCTTTTAGGCAACAAGCTGAGGTGATTTTAGCCGATGGACAGCTGACAAAAGACAGGGTTGAGAAGCTCACTGAGGTGCAGAAACAAGTTGGATTGCCACCAGAGTATGCACAAAAGGTAATTAAGAGCATTACGACTACAAAAATGGCTGCAGCCCTTGAAACTGCTGTCAGTCGGGGAAGGCTTAATATAAAGCAGATTCGAGAACTTAAGGAAGCAAGTGTTGATTTGGACAGCATGATATCTGAGAAGTTGCGAGAGAACCTGTTCAAAAAAACTGTGGATGAAATATTCTCATCAGGTACTGGAGAGTTTGATGAAGAGGAAGTCTATGAGAAAATCCCTGCAGATCTTAGCATCAATGCTGAGAAGTCAAAAAGCGTTGTTCATGAACTTGCTCGGACTAGACTATCAAACTCATTGATTCAGGCTGTGGCACTACTAAGGCAGAGAAATCATCAAGGAGTGGTATTGAATTTTTGAACCTTAGATATTTTAGTGGTTTTATCAGTATTATTGTTATTATTAATTTGGTCTTTTTTATTTTTTATTTTAATGTATATGGTGCCAGTTGAAGTAGCAGTGGATTTATTTATTTGAATGCTCACAATATTAGTGGTGGTTTTTTGCTTTTTCTGCTTTTGCAGGTTTCCACTCTTAATGACTTACTGGCTTGTGATAAAGCTGTACCTTCTGAACCGTTGACATGGGAAGTACCAGAAGAGCTAGATGATTTATTCACTATCTACATGAAAAATGATCCCCCACAGGAAAAGCTGTCTCGCTTGCAATATCTGCTGGGGATAAGCGATTCAGCAGCTGCATCTCTTCGGGAGATGAAAGATAGAGTACTCTCAGCGGGTGCGGAGGAAGAAAAGTTTGTATTCTGACTGCCATAATACGATGGTTGCCTTGGGTTAGGTAGCCAAAAAACCTTTATTTTCGGCCCAATCAAATATTATGGTTGTTGGAGAGAGGTTGTTTCCTAATGTAACATAAGATGGTCAATTTTGTTAGTTAGAGTAGGCTTGCACAATGAATTACTATATGATTATTTATTCTGCATTTAATAATAAGTGTTCTGTTTGTGGGGAAGTACTATTTTACTCCAGGGGGAGATCTTGCATTGCGTCTTACGTTTCATAATTAACGCACAGAGACTCGAGCCTTGAAGGCGCAGAGGCGCGTCTTTCTGCAGGCGTGAGGCGCGTCTTTCTGCAGGCGTGAGGCGCTAACAATAGTGTGCCTTGTGTTTTTAACAACTATCGTGTAAAATTTTAGGGTTGAGGTGTGTTTTTCATTATTAGCCATAAAATTGTGAAGAACTTACTGATATTTGACATGTCATAAAAAGATATGTTCTAGAACTGGTATTTCCCGTAGGTTGCATTCACTTCTCTTCACAAATTTTTCTTTAAGCACCCAGATTTTGATTGGCTCTATTTGATAATTAATCTCTCTCATAACTAGCATTATTATCAAATTCAATAATTAGTATTGTAATTAAAACTAATGACTAGTATTCCAATGAAATATAACATTTTCTAATAAGAAGAAGAAATAATTAGCCTGTCACCATAGTTTAAATTTGGGGACTTTAAGTTAATCTAAATAAAATATTTTTGTTATTATGGACGATTATTTTCAGTTATCATGTATTGTAATTATTTTTTTTTCATATTAGAATTTTTTTGACTTCACTTAATTTTATAGAATTTATTTCATTAGTTCGATAATCAATTTAGTTGTTCAACATAGAAAAAATAATTCTAAAATCACTAATAATCTTTTTAAAATTATTAATTATTTTAATCTAATTTAATTACCTATTTCTCAATAGCTATAATCAAATATTCCTAATAACACTGAAAATTGAAGTTAAAAATAAAAACTAATTACGCTTGACTAAAAGTGCTTCGTTGAATCTTGATTTTCTAACAATCTTGTTTTAAGTCTTTAGAAGAAAATGATGTAGAGAAAAAGTGCGGGAATGGAATTGCACGCGAAGGTGTAGGACTCTCTTTTGTGTAATAGCTTTTCTACGTAGACTTCATCACTCTAGGCTTCATTGGATCTAATTAGAAAAACAGTCTGTTTGTTTTTTTTTTTTTTATGAAGATAAATCAAATTGTATTAAGGAGGGATTAGATATAATCAACAGCGATTTCAAGTTGAGATTTTCAAGATTTGGGATATATATAGGTTTTTCAAGTTTCTAAGGCGGAATTTTTGCAGTTTGAAGTCATCTTTCTTTACAGTTAGACGTATAAAATTTTCAAAAATAAAATATTAGTTTTAATTTTTATTGACCGAGTAAAGTCTGATGAGAAAATGGGCTTTTTCTCCATAAATTTACAACTTTTCGGGCGTGTTCGGGCAGTACCGTTTAAAGCAACATTTAGTATTTTGAATTATTCAAAACATTATTTATAAATTATTATGATCAGTAATTTGATATATAGATGTTTATGGAGTGTTTTGAAAAATGTTATTTTATCTCATATATATTTATTGTTTCACTCTCTTTACTAAATTATTTTTTATAATGAATTTAATTAAAAATTCTAGGTGAATATTTCAATGTCTTTTTTTATCATTTTAAATTTATTGCCAATTAAATAGTTATTTTTATCAAACACTTTCGTTTTCAGCTACGATTTAAACAGCTAACAGCTAGCTATTAATATCTACCAGCTAATAGCTACTAAAACAGTTAATAACTATTAAAACAGCTAGTATTGCCGAACAAATCCTTTATATGTAAAAAAAAATCATTTTTTTTAAAAGATTTGTCTAGATTTAGTTTATGGGTCCGCCCATATAACAAATCAATTAAATAGAGAATTTTTAAAATTATTCATATTTTATCATTTTTTCAAGGAATGGTCAGAAGTATTTTTATTTTTATAAAAAAATAATTTTTCATTAATTTAATTCATAAATAAATTCATAAAACTAATTTAGTCCAGTCAATCCTAAAATAATTAAGTTACTAACTAGCTAGCTACAAGTTGACAACTAAGCTAAATATGTTGGAATAGAAACTTTTTGTTAAACCAACTCTCTAAAGCTTTTTGGTGCGAGTTGCAGCATCTAGTGTATGATTCAAGACATTCCGCTTAAACAACCATTAGAAAATTAAGTCAACGCCCATTGTTATTTATTTATTTACATGTCACGATGTAAATAAATGTTATTATCAAGTGGGATTCATCGCTCTCACTTCTATTTAAAAAAATATCAGTAATTCAATATTCTTGCAAGAGATTTGAAATAAAATTCAATTTTATAAGATGATTCACATTAATTTTTCTAATGGTCAAATAACATTGTGGCTACACAGTAAAATTACTAAATTGGTGATAACTCGAATTTGAGACCTTTAACTCCTCACATAAGTAAAAATATTAACTAAACCACTCAACCTTGACATCTCATTTATATATATATTTCATCTGAGTGTTATAGGAATAATTATTTCTTATTGTTTATTTTTTTATTTATTGTTGACTGTTGATATATAATTAATATATGTCAAGTTTTGTAAAATTATAGTGGGATTTTGTTATTAGTTTTCTGCAAATTATAATAATTTTGTCTCAATTTTTAAATATGCATAAAAATAGTGGTGCTTTGAGAATACCTTAATTTGTTTTATATTTGGGTAATATATGTGTATTATGCATTATAACTTATAAATAAATGATAATATTTATATAATAATGATACAATAAAATAAATTGATTTCCATAAAAATATATTATAATTAAAAGTTTGTAAAGATAATACAATTAAATGAAAATCGAAAATACATATATCAATTACTAATCATCTAATTTATTTCATGCAGTTAGTCTTTCAAAATAATAATAGAATTCCTTACCTCTGTTATTTCTCGCAGTTCACGGTTCATTATCTGCTAAGCAATAAGCCAGTCGAGTTACTAGCCACTTCATCTCATAATACAAAAGTTTATTTGCATCTCTAAATCTTACAGACAGTGAACTCTTTATTTGCTTCTTTAGCTTTGAAAGAAACTATTATTTAGCAAATTTATCCTTAAATGCTATAAAAATTATCATATAATTATACAAAATAAATATGTCCAAGGATACCATTATTCTAGAAGTATTATAACTTTAATTTTGCTTATCAAAGTAGCTATTGAGCATTTTAAAATATATTCATGGAACATAGAAACTACTTAACAATTAGTTTACACCAATATTTCATATTTTGCTAATTGAATTACATAATTTAATAAATAATGGTAAATTTTCAATGTAATTGATAACTTACTCGTAAAATGGGTAGATAGAAGCTTGAAATGTACATTTAGCATTTAAATTAAATGCATGTGATGTGGATGAAAAATAGTTTAACTAAAATAAAAGTTTTGTTTTTTAAAGAATTGCAAAATTTATGATTTCAATGCTCACGATTAATATGCACTAGTAATGTAATGTCCATAAAATGAATGCTAAACCCATTATTTATCTTTAATTGCAAAAATTGATACTTTAATTTTATAAGAAAAATTTATTAGTACTATCAACTTTTAGGTGTACTAAGCTCTTTTGTTCCAAAAAGATAGCCCATCTTTCCTTTTTGGTTTATTTTAAAATATAGTCCACTTTCTTTTTTTATATTATAGTTAATCCTTAAATTACCTATCATACCCTTATTAAATGTGTTACTTAAGATGGACATAGTAGGAAAGTGATATGAATAAAATTATCTTTTAACCATAATAATTGCTACTTTCTTAGTCTGTGTGAAAATATAAGATGAACTATCTTTTCAGGATGGAGAGAGTACTAAAAATTAGAGTTATTATAACACTTTAACTTCTAAAATTATATTTTTTTTTTTTTCAATTACTTGGTTTATGCTTAATAAGTGGCATACATTATGCAAATTTTAAACTAAGTCATTGAACAATAATTTTTATATATTTGACCATTCAATAAGTATTCAATAAATACAATTTTATAAATTAAATTTATTTAATAGATAAAATATTATGAGTTAAAATATTTAGTAAACGTAATTTTATAAGTTAAAAGATTTAATATACTAACGTAAGGTTTTTTAATGTCACTAGATTTTTCTTCTAAAATTTTTGACGCTAGTCGTCTCCAAATTCTTCAATTTTTACTCTTTAGTCCTTCAATAGTTCCTTCAATAGTTCACGACGCGTAGGCCTTCTATCTCCATGCGACATTGCCCTGTCAGGCTTTTGCCAATTAGATAATTTTTTCTATTGTATTTTTATACTTCAATATTGTTTTTTATTATACTCTCAAAAATTGCGTTCTCTTAATTTTTAAAATCTTGAAAAGCTAATTGTTTAATTTAATTCCAAAAACATTGAAATCATGTTCTATTGATTCCTGCAATAAATAATTTTGTCAATTGAAAAAACTAACATGGATGAAACAAAGACAAAACTTGAGGAAAATAAGGACACACAGGAACGTAAACTAATCAACGGAAGAACAACAAAGCTCCTACAAGAGAAGAAAAAATCGCTGAAAGAAAACGAAACCCTAACCCTCATAGAGTAGGAATATACATTAGATCACAAGATGTCGTACTGGACAACAAGTTCTATCTTGTTACAGTCATTTTCTGGCTGATTATTCTAGCTGTACCGATGGTATTTTTGATCCAGCAGTTGCTGAAGCAATGGCCCTTAGAGAGACGATTCTCTGGTCTCATGATGATTCCCAAGTTGTTTATCATGCTGTTCTCTGCTTGGATGAAAATTTTGGTAGCATTATCATTTATTGCAAGCTATTTATTAGGCACAATGGTAGTTCTTCTTTGCATTGGATTCGTAAAAAAGCAAGTCACTCCTATAGCTAGGTTAGCTCATTTTATGCTAAACTATTGACTAATTTTTACACATATCAAATGCAAAATAAATGAGCAAAACCTTCTTTCAATTCCTCTTGAATTACATGGGATGGATCTACAAACTCCCCCTATATGTATGGTCTGATCGTATACCAAACCAATTAAAAATAAATTATTCTTTCAAATGAAGATATTTTTTATTATTCATTAGAGGAAAAAAGGACAAAGTAATAATAATTTTTTAAAAAATCCTTTATAGATAGGTTTGTTGTATGCACCATCTTATACACTAAATGTAAACAAATCTTATTATTCATTTAAGCTATTTTTTCTTTAACCAGCAAAAAAGTCAAATGATATTACTTATAGCCGAATGCATAATTTCCTTCCAAACTTTTTTGAAATCGCTACTAATGCTTCTCAACTTTGCAATGATCGCTTGTGCCCCTTAAATTGCGGTTTTATAGCTTTTGTACCTCTAAGCAAATTGAAACTTTTGTGTGAAATACATTCACGTTGACGTGTCATAAGCAGTTGATATGTCATCGGTTTATCGGCCACATTGGTTTCCACGTGTTCAACAAATAATGGGAAAGAGAAACAGAGAAAAGCAAAAAATTAAATGAAAAATGTTAACCTCTCTTTGCAATAAATTGAAATTTGCAACTGAGAGGAAAATAAAAAAATCTCGGTTCCTCTGTCTTGTTGAAATCTGTTTCTCTTACAAATACAATTATGTTGTAACTCCATTGGTTTTTTTTTTTTTTTTTTTTTTTTTTTTTTTTTTTAGCAGTGAATTTATGCTCACATCGGTTTTATCGGCATCACATTGGTTTCTCCCACTGTGCTTCAACAAATAATGGCTGAAAAGAGAAACAGAGAAATGCAAAAAATTAAAATGAAAAAAATGTTTTAACCTCTCTTTGCAATAAAATTGGAAATTGCAACTGATGAGAAAATAAAAAAAATTCTCGGTTCCCTCTGTTCTTGTTTCGAAAAATCTGTTTCTCTTACAAAATACAATTATGTTGTAAACATCCCATTGGTTTTTTTTTTTTTTTTTTTTTTTTTTTTTTCTGAAATTTAAAAAAAAAAGAAACATATAAAACTTAAAAACAAAATAAAATTTAGATTTCTAAAACACAAATAGATTTTATAAACTTTCAAATTAATTTTTTTTTTTTTTTTTTTTTTTTTTTTTTTTGAAATTTAAAAAAAAAAGAAACATAAAAACTAAAAACAAAATAAAATTAGATTCAAAAACACAAATAGATTTAAAACTTCAAATTAAGAAGAGTTTTCTTTAACGAAATCGATGTTAAATCTGAGATAAAAGATCTCTTATAATACCAACATCACAATCTAAAGATTATCAATACCCAAAATCAGATCAAAAAAATAAAAATTGAAAAAAAAAATCATACAAACTTGTATCAGTAGTTTCGATTTCGTTAATCATAAAATCATTAGAAAATGTTGGTTTAATTTTGATTACAGAGAAATAGATAAGAAGAAGAAGAACAAAAACGAGATAGATCTGTTGAGAGAATGAGAAGTAGAAAAATAGAGAGAGAAACCGAGAGAGAGGATGGGAGATGAAATTATAATGATTTTAAGAATGTAAAATGAGCTTGTTTTTGCTACGCTGCTGGAAAAGATTTAAAGAGTTCACACTCTTATCCGTGTTTAAATTCAAACAGCTCTTTTACAACATGTTAAAAGGTATAAAACCTACAAAAAACGCAACTTAAAAAGTACAAGCGGTCCACTTCAAAGTTGAGAAGCACAAATGGCAAATTGAGAAAAGTTCAAGAGGGAAATTACACATTTGACCTATTACTTATATATGATACTTTTCTTCATTAAGAAATCATTATCATCAATCATATATAATTTGATTAGACTTCTCACATCCCATAAGACATATTGAGTAAAAAATCTAGGATTCAAATCTTTTTCACTGTAAACATATCACTAATTTAATAAATATTAATCAAAAATTGCCTGCCAATTTAGTAAATATTATTAAAAGAAAAACATTATTAGAAGTGTGCAGACTTCAACTTGAATTGACCAAATCAAATCAATTTGGTTCAATCAATATCTCATAAGGAGGTTTGATTTTTGATCTAATTGGGTGAACCAAAGTTTTTTCTGGTTCGGGCTCGATGTTAAGAAGATTAAGGCTCAAAAATCAAAACCAAACAACCTGAAAAATCCTTCAAAAATCAGCCAAACCGAGTCAAAAGTACGGTTTGATTTTATTTACTTCAGTTTGGTTTTTGAAACCATTTGCACACCCCTAAACGCGACCCCTGTTTTTAGCATAAGCCATAAGCAAAATGCTCTCCAAAATAAGATGTACATTAATGCAAGATGCTGGGTAAATACAAGGGGAAGGCTACCCCAATTTTTAGCATAAGCCATGCACAAAATGATCTCCAAATGAGATGCAAAATACACAGTAAATACAAGACCAACCCATTTCACAACATGATACACTCACACTGCTTTAGCATCAAAGAAAGGCAATATTTTTGGACAAATACTTTACAATACAAATAACGTGAGAAAAGCATGTGAATGTGATACTAATAACATAACCTTTGCACACAATTCAAAAGCTCATGCTTCAGGATACACAAAGTCACCACTTTCATCAATTTCAGATTCCAAATCACCAAAGTCATCGGACGTACCAGCAACTGTTTGCTTACTAACTTTAGCTGCTTCCCCAGGCGTTTTTGCCTCTTGAATGATACGCATTATCTCATCAACACTCTGACTTGGCTGGTCACTTTCTGATTCTGCATAATTTGTTTTCTCAATCTCAATCAGCTCTTTCGGCAAATTCTTTAGAAACCAGGGATGCTGCTTAATCTCCGGAATGGTAATTCTCTTAAATGAGAATTAAATAATATTAGCATATGATACCTAATAATATTGAATACCCAAAATAGAATTGGTATACAATACAACATAGCAAACAAAATTCTGCTTTGTTCTTTTATCATTTGAAAGCATCTGTATGATGAAAAAAATTTTACTTTGCAATGTTTTGTTGGTCATGCAATGTTCATTTAGGCCTTTATTGAACGTTCAAGCACCAAGGGTTGTGGTCAAATAATTATGCTTGATTTTCAATGTTGCTGAATTAGTGGTCACTGGTCATATTTTTATATTTAGTAAGAAAAGAAGAAATTACTTTTATCTATTTAGATTTCTATTTGGTTCAAGAGTTAAGGATAAGGTAATTTTGAGTTCAATAGGTATAGGCTTTATTATTGTTAGTTCATCTTAAATCAAATCTACTGTTTCTTTTAACTACTAAAAACACAAGAAAAGCTCCTAGCAACTCTTCACAGTTAGCATTTGCAATGCCAGCATCCATAAAGCCCCCATATTTTCTTATATTTACTTCTTAAATTAATTCATACAACAATTCTACATGTTTCTAAAGTCTTTTTGAAATAACCGAAAAATCAATGCAATGACATTTCAGCTGGTATTCGAGATATGCAACAAGTTAGAAGGAATACCTTTGCAGGATTGGCAACAAAAATACGAGAAAGGAGATGCTTGCAATCTGCAGAAACACGAACATAGTCCGGTATGGAGTACTGAACGCTCATTATTCGCTGTGAAGTTAAAGAATGAATTTAATAATGGTATTGTTAGCACAAATTTAGCTGGAAAGGAAAAAAAAAAAAAAAAAAAAAAAAAATGCTTGCAACTCTGCAGAAAACAACGAACATAGTCGGCTATCTGGTAGTACTGAAACGCTCAAATTATTCGCTGTGAAGTGTTAAAGAAATGGAATTAATATATAGGTATTCGTTAGCACAAAAATTTCAGCTAGGAAAGGACAAAAAAAAAAAAAAAAAAAAAAAAAAAAAAGATTCATCAAGCCATCAACCAACCATGATATTAGTGTTTTAAAGGAACTCACCCCAATGGTTTTACGGAAATTTCTAGGATCTTCAGGATCCTCAAAAGGATATGCTCCCACCAACATCACATATAGTGTCACCCCACATGACCAAACATCTGCAATCTAAAACTGATAAACCATCAAATTACCAAGCAAAGGTAGGAAATAGGCATCTTTTTCATTTACTAATGACAAGAAACACCAATTTTACAGCTATATCAAGCAAATTGGCTGCAATAGGAGTCATGTAAAAAGCCAATCTCGCCAGACATATTGAGGTAAATGATTTCTGGTTTTTTGATACTGGAGTTAATTTCTAAACATTAAGTTGAAATTTCTACTTTCATCTTACATTTAGATCACGTTCACAGAACCACATTAGCAACTGTTGAAAGAATATTTCGAATTTCTTTTTTATTGTGTGTTATATTTTCAATCTCTACATCACTATATATATACACAAGATTGTTCCAATATAGGAATTCAATATAGGAAGAGATTTCTTAAATAGGAATAAAACCTAAAATTAGGAAGACAATAAAACCTAAACTAGGAAAGACAATATTGATTTAATTACAAGCTTTCCAACACTCCCTCAAGTTGGTGGCATAGATATTACTCATGCCTAACTTTGCTCAAACAAAGGATGGAAACCAATGGGGTTTTTTGGCTATTTTTTTCCAAAACCCCCCCCCTTTTTTCGTTTGGGAAAACATCGGACTAGTTGCTCATTTTGAAGGCTATATAGGAAGGACCTTTATTAAGGCCTTCAACTATCTTCTCTTTTATAAAAGTGACGATCAATTCTCTATGTGCTTAGTTCGATCATGCTGCGGAACTGGATTATTCATTAATACTGATGGCTGCTTTACTATCACAAAACAAGGCATATATTTGTTGGTTTCAACAACGTTTAACCTCTTCCATTAAATCTGCGCAACCACAGGAGTTCACATATCCTTGCTTGCCATTAGCCTCTATATTCTGCTTTCTGCACTGGGCAGCCTTTGCAACAACAGCCTGCTTCTTGCTTCTCCATGTTGACAAGGTTTCCTCCAACCAAAAAACACCAATATCCTTGAAGTTGATCTCCTATCATTCAAGAGAACCAGCCCAATCCGCATCTGTCATAAAGCCTTGTTTTTATTTGTCAAATGGCCATGTTTAGAAAATAAAAAGTCTTTACTAGGAGCTGATTTTAAATATTTTCTTAGAATCCGATATGCACAGCTTCTAAGTTGGACTCCGAGGTCATGCATATACTGACTCACTAAACTTTACAGCATAGGCAATATCTGGCTAGTATGGGCTAAGGTAAATCAAACCTCCCGACCAATTCTCTGCATACCTGCAACATTCAACTGAACTTCCCATTCCAGCTTGAAGCTTATGATTGGCTTCAATAGGTTGATTTCTGCGGGTTTACATCCCAACATACCAGTTTCTTTAAGGAGATCAAGGATGTACTTTCTTTGAGAAATAAAAATCCCTTCTGATCTAGCAACTTCTATCCCAAGGAAATATCTCAACTTTCCCAATCCTTAATCTCAAACTCCCTAGCTAACAAAATTTCTCAAGTGAAGTCATTTCTTCTTTCATTTATTTCCCAGTCCATTCACTATATCATCAACATAAACAAGTAAGGCAAGGCTGATTTCTTACCTTTATTGGATGTTTGATGAACAAAGTCATGTATCAGCATCGCTCTGCATGTACCCAAAAGAAAGCATAGCTTTACTAAAAACCTTTCAAACCATGCCCTTGGTGCATTGCTTCAGCCCATTATAAATGACTATCTTTCAGCTTTTGCCAACTTTTCCTTGGTCTTGTTCATCTCAATTCAGGAGGAAATCTCCATATACAACCTCTTCTTTCAAAATCACCATGTAGAAAAGCGTTTTAACATCAAACTGATGTAATTTCCCAGTCAAGATTGGCTGCCACAAGACAGCAAAATTCTAATTGTATTCATTTTTTGGCTACAGGGGCAAAAGTTTCCTGGTAATCAACTCCATAGGTCCTGACTTGAACCCTCTAGCTTAACCAAATCTGGCCTTGTACCTCTTCAATGGGAACCATCTGCCTTATGTTTAACTGTGAACACCCATTTACATCCACAACTGGCCTCCCTGATGGAGGAGTTACAAGATTTCCCATGTCTCGTTTTTTGACCCAAAGCTCTCATCTCCTCAACCATTTGCAGCCTTCCATTTTGAGTCCCTGTAATGCCTCTTGCCAATCCTGCGGATATTAGAAACAGAAGCAAACAGACAAAACAAAGGCTCTATAGGAAGGGACAGAGCATTATTAAGAGATGAAATAGGAGATAGGATGTTTTAGGTGGCATGTCTAACTCCTTTTCTAAGAACAATAGGCAATATCAAAGGTTCATATGTCAGAAAGGGCTGAATTCAGATTAGGATCAGAATCATCAGGAATTAAAGAAGACTCACCTAAGTTCCTTGTTCGGCTGTTATTTTTTCAGAGCCTGAACATTGGAGAAAGACGGTTGATCAGAGTCTTCATGCTCCATGCGTTGTATCTGTTATTAGTCCGTCGTGTGAGGTTTTCAAATCAGGTCTATCCAATCTTTCTAGAGGTTTGGGGTTTGTTCTCTCCTACTATCTATGTTACAGGAAACCTCCCTGGAAAGGGAACGTCATTCATTCAACCTCTTTCCATCCTTGATACCTGAAGAGGTGATTGGGAGGAAATTAATGGACTCAAATTCCGAAAGGTAACATCCAATACTCACAAAATATTTTCTAGAAGGAGGAATGATAACCACTTGTATCCTTTTTGAGTAGCAGAGTAACCAACAAACACACACTTCAAGGCTCATAGGGATCTAATTTTGCTTAGGACCATTCTGATGAACAAAACAAACCACAACCAAAGACTTTTAGGAGGTTACAATATAAGGAGTTTTTTTCCTTGAAGAACCTCTAATGGAGTTTTTTAAAATTTTAAAGTACGAAGAGGCATACGATTGATTACGGGTAATGCAGCAGTCAAAAATAGCATCCCCCAATATTGGGTTTGGGAAGCATATTCATAGTGAAACATAAGAGACCTAGGCTACTTCAGTAAATGCCTAATTTTTTCTTTCCGCAACTCCATTTTGAGCACTAGTATTGACACAACTAGTTTATATAATACCATTAGAATCTAATAGGTTACGAAAAACTGCATTTCATGTATTCAGTAACCATTATCAGTTCTTAGGATTTTAACATGCGCATCAACTGAGTACAAATCATTCTAGGAAATTCTGAAAACACGAAAAAACTTCATTTTTTTTGTTTTCAATCCAAAATAAACCCAAGTTAATCTAGCTTACAACAATTCAATAAAGGTCACAAACCACCTATAACCAGGAAAGAGAGACAGTTTTAGTAGGACCCCATACATCAGATGAATAGTTAGCAAAAGAATTCAAGCCTTTATTATTAAATTGAGAATAAGAATGGCCTGGTGTGTTTGGCAAGTTTCACAAGCATCACATTACTCAATGAATCGAAAATCACACTTAGCAAAATAAAGTGGGAAATAAACGTCCTTTAAAACAGAAAAAAAAGGGATGTCCTAAATTCTCCTATGCCATTGAATAACTTCATGGAAGGATTTCTTAGAAGTTCCTAACAAAGCTTTGGACCGGCTTTACCCGACTTGAAAAACGACAAACGTCATCCAACAGATACAGTCCCATTCGCCGGCAAGCTACCACTGCAATCGGTTCTCCCCCGTGTCAGTTCCTGAAATATACAATGAGTAGGCGTAAAAGGTTACTTTGCAATTAAGCGCTTTTGTGATTTAAGCTAACAGGATAATAATTTAATAGGGAATCTTCAGGGACAAATGAAGAACAGAGGAGAGTTTTAATATTGGAAGTACAGTTAATAGAACCTGTGCCAGCAAATGGGTACTTAAGGAGCCATCCGCAATGCGAATTTTCTGTGCCTTGATACTTAGAATACGTAAGGGGAAATGTTATAGAGCCTGTGTATGTTTATTTGCTCCTGAATCTATTAACCCAAGAGGTTTTGCAATTTTTTGCAAGAAAGGTAAGAAAAGGCATTACCTGAATTAACAAAATTAAGAAGCTGCAGTTTGAGTTGAGGAAGAATCAAGCTGTGACAACAAATCGGTTTCAGGACTGAATTTTCCTTATCAGAAAAGCTAACCAGTAGTTAGATGTTTCCTCACATAAAAGCTCCACCATCAGATATGTGTTGCCTGCAGTCTAAGAAAGAACTTGACCGCTTTTCCTCCACGCCCTTTTAGTGGGCGTCCATGTAATTATCCAGCAGAACTCCTTTCGTGTGCCTTGTTCTTTACCCACAATAGTCACAAAAAATTGATTCTCTGTTTGAAGAACCGTGTCTTTGGCTAGCCTGTATATGTCACTTGCCCAGAATTAGCAATCCCAACCCTGCTTTATTCAATTTATAGATCTGTGAACCATTGCATTCTCCAAGTCTCCTCTTGCCTGTACCAAAGAAATATGCTTGTCGCCAAGGATGGAAAAGGATCTCGTCCAAAGAACTTGGACTCGAATTTGATCATACTCGTTGTTTTAGGCAGCTAGACAAATCATACACACGTTCTTCTTATCAATCAACTTCTGAACTGAGTCGCCATCATCCAGTACATTTGGCTTGAAAGTTCTTTGGTAATAATCCAGTTCTTGCCATAACCCACTAAGTTCAGCAAAATACTGAGCGTAGTCAGATCTCCCTGTTTGGTTTCATGAACTTCTGTCGCAATTCATAACCTCTGAGCATAGTTTCCAGTTTGCGAATACGTCTGTTGAAGCTGCATCCCATATCTTCTTAGCTGTATCAAAGAAGCAAATAGCCTTTCGGGAAATAGTTGGCCTGCATTGGAATTTATTAACCAAGGACATAATAAGAGAATTCTCGGATTTCCATTTGTTAAAGCCTGGATCTGTCGAACCTGGTTTAGTTGGCGCCACCATCAAAGGTTATCCCTGCAAAACCTCTTGCTTCAATGGAATAATTAAGCAAGATCGAGACCAAGCCAGGTAGTTTTGTTCCATCTTAACTTCACCGGACTAATCTGAAGAGAGGGGCTCTCTGAGTGAAAACCCATAATCTACCTTTTTTCCGTTCAGCCATTATTGTCAGAAAAAAATTTTTAAGCGGCCAGTGCGAAAACTGCAGCGGTGCAGAAATCAACCAAAAAAAGCGAAAAAATTGCAAAAAGCCAAAACAAAAAAATGGTGCTAAGAACCAGCAAGCGGAAGAACTCCACAACAATCGCAGGCCGTCGGAACAAAAAACATCGACGGATCTCGCCGGAAACAGCCGCACGCGCCGACGCGTGGAAGAACGGCCGAAAACTTTCTGGCGGCGCGTGTGCACACGCGCGTGTCGGGACAGCGACGCGGCTTTGGATGGAGGGGATCGGCAGTTCCCCTTTTCCTTCCTGAGCTGGCGGTGGACAGCCAACTCCTAACTCCGGCGGCACTGTGTATATCTCAGCCCCTGTTTTCAAAATCGAAACCATCGCCGAAAAAATTCAACCGGCAATTGGCTCTGGGGATACCATGGTTGAAAGAATATTTCGAATTTCTTTTTTTAATTGTGTGTTTATTTTCAATCTCTACATCACTATATATATACACAAGATTGTTTCCCAATATAGGAAGAGATCTAAGAATAGGAATAAACCTAAATTAGGAAAGACAATAAACCTTAAACTAGGAAAGAACAATAAACCTAAAACTACTAAATTAGGAAAGACAATAAACCTAAACTAGGAAAGACAATAAACCTAAACTAGGAAAGACAATATTGATTTTAATTACAAAGCTTTCAACAGCAACTCTACTTGGTAATAGTCAGCTTGAGCAGCCCATATCACTTATGAACAGCTAATAAAATATCAAAGCTCTACAATATGAAGCACAAAATGGTATGTTCGATAACTCATGTGAAGTTAAATGGTCATCAACCATTCATCTGAATGTTTTATAAGCGTATAGAGAGCGCCCATTAATAAACTGCAAGATGTTTCTTCTCTTGTCCTTTTCTACTTACTCACTAATTCTAAGATTCAAAAGAAATATTGATAATTCTAAAACAACTAGAACTTTTCAAATTGGGACATCGACAACCAACATATTGATTAAATGTTAAAGACAATAAGAAGCTGCATGATAAAGCACTAGCTACACTGTCTCTTTTTGTAGAAAACATAGGGGACACTATATGTGAAATAAATTGAAGGTTTATATACCAATTAAACAGCCGAAATACAGACTTGTGTTGTATAGAAAACAGGAGTGTGAAACCTGAAGTGTGCCTTTAGTTATGTTGATGACCAAAAAAAAGTGAGAGGGAGCTGGGCTTTGGGCTATGTTGACTAAGTACCTTTCCATCATATTCCTTTCGTGATAGGACTTCAGGTGCAATGTATGCCGGTGTCCCAACTGTTGATTTCGGTTGTGAGTGCAACAGAGCAGACTGAAATTAAAAATGCAAGAAAAGAAAATCAAAATTGAATAAGAAAAAAAATATATATAATGGAATAGCATACAAGATAGAATTGGACAAAGCAACATCACCTTCGAGTAACCAAAGTCACATATTTTAAGTCGTGGAGTAGGGCTTCCATCCAAAAGTGTGTTCTCAAGTTTCAGATCCCTGTGACAAATTTCCTGCAATAAAAGCAACAAATTGTAAAAGAGAAGGAATTATGGCATAACAAGAAACCTCAGACATCATACCATAGAATGACAGTAGCTGACTCCAGATATTAGTTGCTGGAAGAAAAATCTTGACTGCAGTGAAAAGGATATGTCAATTAGATATTCATTAGTGTATTTAACTCAAGAGAAAATTATTCAAACAAAATACAAGCAACAGCTTTATAACCTCATCTTCACTGAATCGACCAGCACTGCATATCCTTGCAAAGAGTTCACCACCAGCTGCATATTCCATGACAATTGCTAAATGTGTTGGAGTCAATAAAACCTACAGGAAAAAAATAACTGTTAGAGCATGTTAATGGTTATACTCAACCCTGAATTCCTTTATAGCGGATTCAAGGTCTGTTATTCAACCAATATGCAGAGGTTGATTACATGCATGGCTAAGTTACTAACATACAAAAATGTGCTTCTGGTACAATAATCTTGGCAGATCTACCGACATATCCTTGTGAGGTGAATTAGGCTTCAAAAATTAGGACTAAGCAGCAAAATTGACAAGGCAGTCTTAAGTTGACCTAGGACCATCATTGCTTGGCCTTGTAGAGTGCTTTTGTTCTGCACCTCAGCTTAAGAGGAATGTGCTTCTATATGCTTAGCATAGAGGAAATATGATTATGGATAAGAACAAAGTGAAACATTGGCATCCATAATTAATGTTGCAATATTCTCATTCTAGATATGCATCCCAGGAAAAATCTAGCATTAATTGTGATGCGACACAAAAAAAAAATGTAGCATATTGTCAAAGAAGGTACCTATTATAAGAACTTGCACAGCCTACAACTAGCAAGTAGGGCTCCAGATATTGGGTAGTGTAAATGGCTCTAAGTATGCACCAATAGTGAAGAACATTACATGTTATTCTACAAAAGTTTACACTGCATGCAAATTTATTTGAAGTTTGAGTAGAGGTGCTGCTTGGACTGATTATAAGTGTCTCAGACTTGGAACCAAAAGGCTGCAAACTCAAATCCTGAGAAGTAAGAACAACCAATGCATAAAAAAATTTTAACGCACAGAGTCCTTAAGGTCCTCCAACAGGAGAGAAGTTCAACAAGTTCAGGTGATAGATGATGGTCTCAAGACTTCGACATCAAGTGATTACTTCCAGAACTGGTGGGCCAGATAAGAAAGTATGTATTGATGAAAGTAGTTGTTTGATTAACCACTTTTTGTTTTATTTCACTAGAACTATAGCTAAGTAAATAGACTTTTATTTTCAAGAATTGGGTTTAAAAATCAGATGTCTAGGTTCACTTAATCAACCTGAATATAGAGCTCACATCTTAGTTTTCCTGTGTATCTATTTATAGGAATTTAGACTAATGCAGATGATACGCAATAAAATAGAAATGTGAAAAACATATAAGAAAAAGGAACCTTAGAATTTTGTGATTAATGTGTCAGGATTGGATAAGAAAAGATAACATAATTTCAAAAGATCAAGAAAATAAAAAAGCTTCAATAATTACTATATGGCATTTTATTAAAAAGCTCTGGTACCAAAACATCATGCAAAGGATCAAAAGTCTCTGTCAAACCTTGCTTTACTGTAACTAATAAAATCCAAGGTCAAACAAGCTTAGGTGTTCTAACCACTGTAGAGTTCACTTGGCTATTCATCAGAAGCCCAGAATGACTTGTCTTGTGAGAAAAAATACAGAATTGATGTGTTACCTCTTTGAACTTGACAATGTTTGGATGCCTTAATGATCTGTGGTTGATGATTTCTCTTTGCACATTCTCATCAATCTGACACCAGAAATAGAATTCATAATCATCAGACTCGCATGCATGTATATATGACAAGTTAATATTAGAAGCGGAAATCTGATTAGTGAATGTCAGACACGTTGAAGCATGATGGGTTCAAGCAACCAATTTAACATAAACATCACCAAACTACATAGGTAGCATCAGCCAACCAGTTATTAAGAAAATGTAATGATTATCATGGTAAATTAAATTATTACTCTGACAACAAAAATGCTTAAGATACAGTATGGAAATATTTGATGCTTAGATAGCATTGCTACATTAGTGTAAATTTTAAGGCACCTTGTTCAGTCAAATCAGTAAAAAACAAACTCATATTTATTATTTATACATTGAATTAAATAAAATTAAAGAAACAAAATGAAAAGAGACGGGAATGAACAACAAGCAAACCAGAGATATCAACAAGGTTAAAGTAATTGCTCATTTATCATGTTGACATAATAGACAAAATGCAACATTAATTATATATATACACTTATAATTTCACTCATTTCGTTATGTATAGAAGAAAGCAAAAAGGGCATCAGGCCTTATCGTGCTGTTGTCCATTTGAAAACTATCTATGCGTCCTATCATTTTGCATGTGAAAATAGCAAGTTGATACTGCCAGATGCTTTTAACCAGAAAAGGCCTTAGAGTTTGCAAAGGAATTTGAAAACTTTGGAAAAATAAATTGCTATAATTGACAAAATTGCAGCAAAAAATTAATACTACATTGGCATTATAATACCAGTTCTATAAGTCATACTCAGAAATGTATGCAACCCCAAACTATGATTACTACCAGCTTTGCACTTCTAGGATTAAAAGAGTTGGAGACAACAAAAGCTTTTGTGATATGATAGTCCAAAGCCCAATCTATGCAAATAATGATTGATCCACGCAACTGCCAATTTAGGGGAAAAAGGGAACGTATGCCACTCTGATATACTTCTGGAGTCCTTAACATTTATGGTCAATACTTGATAAAACCTCTATGCTCTGTGTTCACTAAGTTCCCTTTTTGTTATTTTCTTTAACATTAAATGCAATATTACAAGAAAACATAATGTATATGCACTAAGCAAGCAATAATGTGAATCCAGGAATGAGAAAAATATTGTAGAAATGCTTCATAGGAGGTAGAGATATCACAGTTATCATTTGATAAATTCAGCACTTACCTAGTGAAACAACAAAGCTATTCGTAACAGACAAAAGTAGTTCAAATACATTCAGGTATAGCCTAAGACAAGCATACAATTCCAAAATTTACTAGCCAAATAAAACTTGATATAAGTATATTGTTAGAATATAGAATCCCTTCAACAATCCCACCTTATATTCTCAAAAGCACCATTGGGTTCGACATAATAATTATTATAAGGTTAACATAAATACTTGAAGATTAGAATAACTGGCTCTTCTAAGCTTTGCTTTCCATTTTTATCCCCAAAACGAAATGGGACCTTCCAAATTAAAGAAGGCTAACCATAAATAGCCGCAAGAATGAGAAGCCTTTAGACACCAATGCAAAAAATCATAAGAATCAAAAATGAACAATATCCAATCGACAACTAACAGATAAAGCCATTTCTAAAATAAGTAACGCACAACAAAAGAAAAAGAAGAATTGACAATTTAAGTACATTAAGAAATTAATAAAAAAGTTTTACCTTTTTCCCTCTTTCGATATACTTTACAGCAACAAGCTCTTTTGTCTTCTTATCTCTCACTAGCCTTGCCACTCCAAAATTTCCTGAACCAAGGTCCTTAATTGGCTCATACCTCTCCTCCATCCTCACCACACAATCACTACGCCAAGACAAAAAGGAAAAGCAATATAGGAAAGTTCTAAACACCCCAAAAAATGGTCAACAGAGAAGAAAAACAAACGCAAAAGGGAAGAAGACTAAAAGGGCTAGAGAAAGAGAAAAGGATGAGAAAAATAAATCAAAAAGACTAAACAAATGACAACACCTACCAAACAAATAAATTAATAATATATAAGTATAGAAAACTGAAAATCAAAGACCGACCAAGGTAACAACCTGTATAAAAAGGTTCTTTAAGAGCAAGAAGACTAACAACAACCCCTCTCGCCTACCCAAACGGATAATGGGTTTTCTTCTAGGAGGGAAAAAGAGTGTTAAAGCCAAAAAAATCTGAAAAGACTTGAGACTTTATAAAACACCCATTTAATCCAGCTTCAGCTCAAGAAAGCTTAAGGTCACTGTCTATGGAAGTCGCAAATTTAAGATAAAGAAAGCTGAATTTGGACTGTCTAGAGAATTAAAGGACACGCTTGCTGTGATAGGTTGCTTGCAAGTGTCGCCTGCAGAGAAGCTGAGTACGACAATATAAAACGACAGCGTGTTATGGTGTCTGACACGCGGTTAGTTTTTTAGGCAAGTCTAGTACATGACGGCGGCTGGATAAGATATTTTAATTGTTTTAAGTTTTTTTAAAAGAAAATAATTATTCCGTACTTAAAGTTTTACAAAATTATTTAACCTCGACGTTGGTTCCACGTTAGTAAACAGTCATTCCGTCTAAAATTAAATATTTTTTCATTAAATGAGGCTAAGAGAGAGAAATATTTTGAAATGACAAATTACCCTTAATAAAATCTGACAACTAAATATGGAAAAAATAATAAAAATTCTTTTTATTTCTCTTCATCTTCTTTTTCATGTTGCGCTTGAACTTCATAGAAAGACATGATTTTCAATCTCGTTAAGCATGCTGTAGAATCCAATCGTAGCAATCTTTGAATCCCACAAAGTATCTCAAAAAAATACGAACAACAAATCAGAATCCAACAGGGATCAAGTTGACCGATTCATAATGAAAAAAACAGAATTCATCCAGAGAAATCGCTTCCCTCGGCCGAAGATGAAGCAACAATCAGACTTGGACAGAAAATCTTTCATTTTCCAGCTAGACAGCTCTCTAGGAGCAGAGATGGCTTGACTCGCCTTCCCCATATAAGATTCTCGCCTTCACCGACAGACAGCCTGATCGATTTGAGATCTGTGTTTAATCTAAAGGCTTGTGTTGGGAGAAAGTGGAGGATTTGATTTAGTGGGAAAAGGTGGTCGTGGGGTCCATATACCAGGTTGGTGTTTAATCCAAAGATTTGTGTTTCCTTGCTTTGTAATCGTGTATGCCATCTTCTTCATCATAAACTATAAGCAAAACAAAAATAAAAAATATGCAATTTAATGTTAGATTTGGGATTTTCTTTGTTAGTGTAAATGGACCAGGATGATTGGTTAGAGAAGATGCCGGGTAATTTAATGGTGGTGGCTACGGTTACTGCAACCACGAGATTTCAAGCTGCAATAAGCCCACCGGAATTCAAACTTGCATCATCATTGACACTAAGAACTGAATCCTCATTTCAATGACCAAATGCAAGATGCTCCGAATGAGATTCCGATGCCTCAAAATAAATCCAAATCGTTCATTTATCGGTTTCGTTTTATGCTGTTACTGAATTAGAAATTAATTGCATATTTGAAATTATCACCGAATCTCAAACTCAGCCCAAGAGTATGTGTTTGTCAAGGTCACCGGAGATAAGTTTGAGTAGATGATAAAGAAGGTGAGAGACAGTGAGTTTTAATTTTTTGTCAATATTTATTTTAATTATTAAGGGCGTATTTTATTCTTTTCAGCTTTATTTAACGGAAAAAATTCTAATTTTGAAACCGAACTAAAAATGAGGTCTAAATACCTAATAGTCAAAAATATATATACGTGCTAATTAATTTTGCAGAACCTCAATAACGAAACAATTAATTTCCTTTTTTTAATTCTGTTTTTTTTTTTTTTTTTTACAATTCTGTTTTTTAATCTTTGATGAGATAAATTTTCATTAAGTCAATTTTTATTATTTACATAAAAAAATATGATCTGAGCCAAAATTGTACATAAGATGACCAAATCCGATGTAAAGTGGAATAATCTAAACAAACGGTCTCTGTTTTTATTTATATTTTTAATTTGCACTTGTAGTTTTTTATTTTGAAAAATAAATTTAAAAACTTCATGAGTTGGACAATTTTAAAAAAGGCTACACAAATGAATCTAATTTGCCTTGTGAAAATAAAATATCATTGATCTTTTTTAAAAAAATATTTAAAAGGTATCCCATATACTTTTATGAAACTAATCTTGTTTTGACGGGTGTCTCATTTTGTTCAGGGAATCTTACTCTTTACTCAGCAAATTAGTAAAAACTCTTGTAGTAAAAAAAACTCAAGAGTTCACATTATTCATATTAGTTAAAAGAACAATCACACCACATATGGTTGACACCTTTCTTAATATTTTGTTATCCATATGGTTGAAACCTTTCTTAATATTTTGTTATCCATAATCAAAATATTCTAATAATCTTTTTTAATAAATAATCTTTCACATCATAGAATTAATAATGTTGCTAATTCTCTCAAAAAAAATTGCTTTAATTGATTTCGCATTAAAATACAAATGTATATTTAAGAAAAATAGACAAACATATAAGTATATTTTTAATTGAGTTCTGATAAATCTCTCGATAACAAAGCAGGCTAAAACTGAGCGTTTATTGGGAAAAAAAAAATTGAGATTTTTCTTTAAGAATATCAATATATAAGGTCTCAAGTTCGAATTTTCTCCGTTATAAAAATTTACACAAAATTGATGAATAAGAAGAAGATTCCTCTATGTTTATAACTCATCGCGCAATGTTATTTCAGGTCTATGTATAAATAAAAAAAAATTAAGTTTTATAAATAAATTAAAATAAAAAACAGCAATTCTTTTATGCATTGGAGCCAGATGATAAAGAAAGGGGCATTTTAACAAATGTCATTTTTTGAGGTTTCATGTCTTGTTATTGGGCTGGGCATTTATAATGCTTTAAAAGATTACGTTGGGCCTTTCCGTTTTATGATATTTTGGGCCTTAATCGTCAATTATGCTACTTCGGCCTAATTTGTTCCCTTTATATCGAGCTTAATTTTAGCTATGACTATGACTAAAGTAATAAACTATTTTATCGTTTGAGTTAATTTATTTATTGATTGACCTGCTAATCTTGCATCTACTAAATACATAAGTATCTATATTTTTTATCCCTACAAATCAAACTAAAAATTTCATTAAGATAAAATTGTTTATAAATATAAAATATAGGTGAATATATTTCTATATTTTTATATAGGAAGTTTAATAATAAATCACTTATATAAAGGTTTATCAAATTAGTAATTTAAAAAACTCTAGCTCTCTCTCTCTTGTGTTCTTGTAGATTTTGTTTCTAAATCATCGTCAGTCATCTTCTTTGGTCGGCAATGGTTTCTTTTTGTCCCTCTCTATCTTTTTTCTTTATTTTGTTTAGTTTTTTTTTTTTTTTCGTAATTTCTAAACCTATGATTGTTTAGAATGCAATTTGGATTTAGTCTCTCAGATTTGTAGATCTTGAGTGTTTTTGGTATCCTCTTAGTGGGATTATTATTTTTTTTTTTTCCTTCCATGGGGTTATTCCTCGTTATTGAAGAGTTTTTATGTGCATATTTTATTTCTCATATATTTCTAAAAACAAGACGAATTGTTGATTGTTTGTAGTTAGAGACTTCAAATATTCAAGTTCGAGTAAGTTTCTTTTAACAATGGAGCCTAGTAGTGCGGTTTGTTTCTCCATTAAAGTTTGGTATATTAAACTCAAACTCTTCTACGGGTGTCGTTTGTAACAAATTATTTTCAAAAAAACAATGTTTGGGATAATATTGTGGAATATTTCTTTTGTCGTCCTATTGAAAATTGACCAGTTTTTACTCGGAAGATTAACCTCTTCTGCCAAGATCAAGAACATCTCTAAGCAGAAGATTTCAATTTTCTATATTTGTATTTCTTATTCCTATAGAAATATTATGGTGTATTCAACTTATATTCATTATTAATGAATTATAAGTTTTCAAAAAAAAAAAAAAACGTATTGTATACGAATTAATTTTCAAAGAAAAACAATGTTTGGGAAATAATATTAGGATGTGGAATATGTTCATTTTGAGTTCCGTGCACATATTGAGAAATATGAACCACAGTTTGATAACTTAACGAGAGAAGTGAGTATAGATACTACAGATTATGAAGACGTGCTTTGCCGAACGATTTCAAAGAACATCTGACTAAGCAGAAGATTTTCAATTCTTCTAGTGTGTGTGATTTACGCTACTTCCTATTAGAGAATATTATTGGTGTATTCAACTTATATTCATGTATTAATGGAATTATTAAGTTTTTCTTCAACTTATATTCATTATTAATGAATTATAAGTTTTCAAAAAAAAAAAAAAAACAACTCATATAAAGAATAAAAAAACACAATCTTGATTTGAAGTATCTGATCAAGTTGACAAAGCATAATATTTGTATCATAGGCGATCACTTACTTCACTTGATGACTATTCATGGCCATTGTTCGTTTCCATGGTCTTTCCACGAGTCCAATATGATTACCTTCAAATTTTTTCCTTTTATTAGAGAGGAAATCTGCACTTCTTTTTGCATAACTATCCAAATAATAAAAACCGCTAGATAAAATCACCATAATAGTGATAACAATAACTTATAATTAAATCTGAGAACAAAATTTTTCAAGATATGAGCGATTATAAATCACAATATTTGGATGACAATAATTCATATATGTATATAGATCTGAGGATTATTTATAAAAAATACAAATAAAAAACGAGAAAGAAGATGACCACCGGTGGCGGCATATGGAAAAAGAAAAGAAAGCTTTTAAGGATTTAGATTTTGGTAGAAAAAAGAGCTACGTTTCTTTGAAAACGTAATTACTTAAAGGAGAGAGATATAATGAGGTGCATCTTATATTTTTTATCGTTCTTTTAGCCGCATGATATGATATATATTCTTAATTATTATATAATGTAATTGAAATAGATCATTCTAGATGGTGTAACAATTAATTTTTGTTCATTTTTCTTTTCCTATAACTGATTTTATAATAAAATTTTCTTTGTTTGTCAAAATAAAATTTGCATAATATTGTTTGCAATGCATTAAAAACTTGCTATCTTAATTTTTTTTTATTTTTCGCTCCTCTATATATATATTTTTTAGAATTTAATGTTTAGAGTATGCTATAAATTAATTTCTTATTATTTAAAAATTTATTAAATATGTTAAAATTGAGTCATAAACAGTAGTCATATTTTATATATTATTTATATCATAAAAAAATCATATTATAGTAATTGATAGGCTAATAAATATACTGAGGATATATTTGAAAATACATTAAGCGTTGTACAACCCACTGCTTGATTATTAATAGTCGTGTCTTCCGCTCGGAGTTGGACAACCCACTGTTTGTAATTTATAGTCATATAAAGATTCATATTCATACAGGATGTAGATTGCATAGGCTAGATAAGTATATCCTTGAGGAATATTGTTCTGAAATCCATTTAAGACAGTTAGTACAACCCCTTGCTTGATTAATTAATAGTCGTGTCTTCCGCTCGAGGTTAGGGACAACAGCCACTGTTTATCATTATCTATTTTGCTTAATTATGCTTTTTTTTGATTTGTACTTCTATCAATATATTTATAATCAAAGGAGACAAATTTACAACTAATGAATCAACACTTCTTACATGTACGCGTTGAAATGGAAAAAGCTCTTGGTAGCGGTGGTCAAGATTGGTGGAAAGTGAAGTCCATTGACGCGACATTATACTTCTTGGAACCAAAATCTTGCTCAGAGGTTAGTATTAACCATGCATGTTTCCGCCTCATTAAATCAAAAAGTAGATTATCATTTTTTGTAAATACCATAAATTAAAAAGATTTAGGGATGTGATAGATTATGGATTATGTTTTAGATTTTAAAAGGATTTGTTGAGTTTGATGGAATTGAAGGATGTTCTTTAAGATTTCTTACTAAAATTCTACATAGAGTTTTGTTAAAATGGTATGGACTTTTTTTTTTTATAAGACTTTTTTTGAGTTGAACTTTTATGCAATTACAAATATGATTTTTATATATCCAATGCAAAATTAATTTCACAATCTAACATTAAATCAAATTTAGAAAGCAGTTTTGCAAGCCCAATGAAAACAGAAAGAATGAGGGACACCAAAAAACCAAACATGCATCATACTTCTCTATAAATGGACTTTTTCTTACGTTAAAACTTTACCCGCAGAACGGATAGTAAAACGACGGCATCTCGACACAGCCAATGAGTCCACGCTCCGTCCAAGCCGACCAAGTCTGCAACACCTCGTTACGCATATAATCACTCTAGAACAGTGTTCGCTCGTGGTGCCCCCTCACACCCACCTCCGAAACAAGGTGATATAAATAGATAGAGAGGAGGTGGAGCCTCCGCCGAGAATGAAACACCTCCGCGCCCCCACGTGCAAGAAAGACCCCAAGAAAATATAAATAATAGAAAAAATGAAAAAGGTAGGGAGGGGTGCCCCACGTCTCCACACACATAACGACAGTTTCTCAAAGAAATTCTGAAAATAGGTTTTAAAAGAGCTGTTCGCGCGGATTCACGCTAGCCATGCCCACCACTTTAAAAAAATAATTTTTTTATATATCCAATCAAAATTAATTTCACAATCTAATTAAATAAATTAAAAGGTTTTGAAGCC